GGACAGTGCTTGACAGGTTTACAGCAACCTCTGGCCTAGCTAAGCTAGGTAATACTATGATGGCAATAGCTAGATTTCCACCTCTACAGACTTTTAGTAAAAGTATTTTTGTTTGAAACAATTCAATTTTAGTAAAATTCAGGTTTTTTATTTTAAAAAATTTGTATTTTTTGAAGAATTATTTAATCTTTATTTATCATTATTATTATTTTAAAATTTGCTGCAGGGCACATGCAGTCACCAGAGAGAAACAGTGAGAGGGATAAATTGAGAAATCAAGCCACCAGGTCCAGGACTTGAACCATAGTTAGCCATGTGGGAGTCCAGCACCCCAATCACTACACCACCTGCCTGCACCCGAAATTCAGTTTTAAACTGAAATAATTCCATACATTAATGACTGTACTGAAAGTTTTGGTTTTAGTTTATTCTCTGAATTGTCAATTTCAGATCTTTGGAAATGGTAATTTAATGTGTTTTAATTAGTGTATACTTCTTTGGCAAAGGAATATGCCATAGTAACGGAAGATTTATTGTGAAATACTGGGGCCAGCACAGTAGGGAAAGTGCATGGGCTTGGACAACAGCAGATTTAGATTTGTACCCTAGTTCTCTTACTCTGTGACCAAATGTAGATTATTCAACTGGAGTCTTACTTTTGTTTTGAAAATGACATGTATCACTGCAGTAGGGTTATAAGTGGCATTTGCTTTTATCTCCGTGTAAATTAAAGATAAATGAAATGTAATGGTAAACCTGTTCATATTAATAAGCGATAGGTAAAATATTTTGTAAACTGGCATGAACTTTGAAAAGCTATGGTCCAATATGTATATGCTATGTATGCCATTTTAGCAGATTAACTTGAATAGTTTGTATCCATGGTTGATTTTTTAAAAATTATTTTACTCACTTATTTATTATTTTTTCATATGGGTTTTTGCCAGAGAAAGAGAGAGAGAGAGAGCGAGCAAGAGCGCGCGCGCAAGCTGCCAGGTTCAGGACTCGAACTGTAGTTGGCCATGTGGGAATTCCAGCACTTTATCCATCATGCCACCTGCTGGCCCCATCCATGGTTGATTGTTAATAAATCTGTTCCCTCCCACAGCCCTCTGGGAGGGAACACAATAGCAGCACCTGGACACAGTAGGCACACTGGCCTTCATGCTAGGCTGAGACCTCAGTTTATTTTAGGAATTTTTTTCCTTAGTTGTATGTCTAAATCTGATGGAAGAATTATAAAAGCCTTGCAGTAGTAGAACTTCTGTTTTACTGGTTTATGGGGCTGATAAACTTCTTTCAGTACTGAAAAGCTCTCCTTCCTTGGAAATCAGCATATCAAAGCTGTGGCTACCGTCCCATGTGTGCTGTAGCACTCTTCACAGAGGCTGAGAGAGGGAATCAAACTCAGTGTCCACACCAGACAAATGGATAAAGGAAATATCCTGTGTGTATATACAGCAGGATAACATTCAGCCCTAGAGAGTGTGAAATCCTGTCACTCCATGGATAAAACTAAAGGGCATTATGTTAAGTGAAATGAACCAGGCCACAGAGAAAAATCACATGTTCCCACTTATCTGTGGGAGCTATAAAAGTTGACCTCATAGAAATAGAGAGTAGAATAGTGATTACTAAAGCCTGGGAAGGCTTGGGAGGAGAGGGGCAAAAGGGAAACGTTGATTAATGAATACATAATTACAGTTAGATGAAGGATAAGTTCTTGTGTTCTAGAGTAGCTGTAGATAACAGTAAATTATTGTGTATTTTCAGCTGGAGGAGAGGATTTTAAAAGCTCCCAATACAAAGTAATGATAAATGAGGTGATGGATATGCTGATTACCCTGATTTGATCATTACACATTGTATTCATGCTCAGAAAACTCACACTGGGGAACCAGCAGTTAGCGTAATGGCTATGTCGCTGGACTCCCACATGGTCAACCGCGGTTCGCGTCCCGGACCCGGTGGTTTAGAACTCACGCTGGGCGTGTGTGCGTGCGTGCCCAAGATCCCGGGAGGAGAATGGAGGAGAAGGGATTGCGGCGTGACCATCCCCCGTGGGGGGTGATTTCTCACTTTCTGTCTCTATGTCTCTGTCTGTCTGGCGAGTACACAAGCCCTATAGTGAAAACTTCTACAAAAAAAAAAAAAAGAAAAGAAAACTCACGCTGTACCTGGTAAATATGTACAATAGTTATGCTAGTTTAAAATAATAATTTAAGAAATGAGTTATACATTTTTAAGAGGCTCTCCTTTAATAACTCTAACCTTCATTTCTAATATGTAAATATGTAAATGTAACACTTTTACCTAGATTCCACTGGTTAGAATAACAAAAATATAATGCTTGTAACACCGACCTAAAACCTAATATTGGCCTTTGGGTGATGCTTTGGCTCCCAGCCAGCAAAGTCATTGGGATTCCATATCCTCTGAGTCCTTTTTTCTCTTGAAATGCCTGGTCGTGCTCTTGCTTTTTCTTTCCTTTCTTGAACTGCTTTTAGATGTCATGTTCTGCTCTGCCACCTGCTGGCCTCAATGTACACTGTTGCTTCTCTAGCTATAGCAGACTTAGAGTCAGAGCGTAGCGGGTCACGGGTAAGGCTGCAGGTACGGTGTTGGATGGTATGGGCTTGGGAGCCTGACTTCTGACTTTGAGTCTCTACATCACCACTTCCTTGCTGGGTAACCTTAAACAGATGACACTTTTCTCAGCCATAAAATATATGCAGCTATGTTGCTAGTCTCACAAAGTTGTGTAAATGAGTTAAATGCAAATGCTGAAAGCATTTCTTGTCATTAAACAGCAAAATGCTGAAAACAGTACAAGGCACATAGCAATGTTAACAGTGTTATGATTATTCTGATCTTAATGCTTTAGGTGAGACATTACATATGTGTATTTTATTTAGAGCCTTAATAGCTTCAAATTGATTATAGCGTTGAGTTTATTTACTTTGAGAGATTTTTTGCTATAGGGCACATGTTCTTGCCAGACAGAGAGACAGAAAGTGAGAAATCGCTCCCCACCCCAGGCGGGGGGTAGGGGGGATGGCCACGCCACAATCACTTCTCCTCCATTCTTCTCCTGGGATCTTGGACATGCACTCGCATGCACCCAGTGTGAGTTTGCAGCTGCTGGGTCCGGGACTAGAATCACAGTTGGCCATGCAGGAATCCAGCAATAGCCATCTGTTGGTCCCATATTAAGTTTATTTTAAAATGTTGATCTTTTTTAGATCTGTTGTGTATATGCTTTCTGTTATACATGATATTATTTATTTTTGTGGAAATGTGCACACACTTGAATGAGAAACAGAGAGAGAAAACTTAACTTTGACAGGGTCTTATGCTGCCATCCTTTTCCCTGAGCCCCCCAGCTCCTCAGTATCTTGGTTGCCTGCCCGAGCACCCAGGTGTGCCTTCAACCAGGGATCTGAGCCTGTGGCTGGGGATGTTTCTTCCTGTGTGCAGTTCAGTGCATGATCTGTGCTGCCTAGACCGGGCCTTGTCACTTTTGATATACTACCATCCCATATTGGACAATTAAGGAGAAAAAACTACTAAAATGTGAGAGTTCTTAGTTGTTTTTTTTTTTTTTAAGAATTATTTTATTTAACTTTAATTTGACCAGAATGAGACAGAGAGACAGAGAAAGAGGCAAAGTGAGAAAGCAAGCTGCCAGGTCTGGGACTCAAACTGTGGTCAGTCATGAGGGAACCCAGTGCCCTTAACCACCACGCCACTGCCATCTGCCAGCCCCATGAGGGAGTCCAGTGCCCTTAACCACCATGCCACCTGCCAGCCCCAAGAGTTCTTAGTTTAAAGTGATGGAATATCATATAGAAATAACTGTAAGCAGAGTAGAATTTTAAAAATTTTGTTTTTTAACTAAGGAAATTAACAAGTGAGATAAGCTTTGTTCTCAAAATGTATGTTTAACTTAAGTGTGTACTATCCCAGTTTTTGAAGTAAAAATAGATTTTCTTTTGCCTACTATAGCAAGGTAGTTTTTTTTGCCTACTATAACAAGGTAGTTTGTAACTCCATTTCGTGTGTGTGTATATATATACATATATATATATACACATATATATCTATATGTCTATATTTCAAACAGCATTATAGTGTAGTCTTGAACATTTTTATAGTATGATGTTTAACTCAATATTGTATTGTGCAGTGTGACCATGCCCGTTGGGGGTTGCTTTCTCCCTCTCCCTAATTCTTTCTGGAGAACACATGTGCTCTCTAGTAGTCAAAAAAAGAAAGATGGGACTAGCAGGTGGCATGGTGGTTAAGGCACTGGAATCTAACATGGATGACCATGGATAACCATGAGTCTTAGACCCAGTGGCTTGAAGGATCACACCGGGTATGTGTACATGCATGCCCAAAATCCCAAGAGGAAAATGTAGGACAAGGGATAGTGGCATGGCTGTCCCTTTTGGGGGGAATGGTTTCTCACTTTCCCTCTCTCTGTTTCTCTCTGTTTCTTTCCAGCAAGCACATTGCCTTATGGCAAAAACCTGAAAAGAAAAGAAAACAAGAAAAGGAACTTTTTTTTAGTAGAAAATAATGAGCATCCTAAACACAGATCCTCAATAAATATTTCAATGATGAATAGATTTGATTCAGTTGGCTCATTCTTTGTGTAATTTACACTTTCTTTTTAAAAATACTTATTTAATTCCATTTGTTGTTGCTGCTGTTATTATTATTATTTAATTTGGCCAGAGAGAGAGAGAGAGTAAGGGAAAGTGAGAAAGCAAGCTGCTAGGTCCGAGACTCAAACTGTGGTCGGCCATGTGGAAGTGTCCAGTGCTTTAACCACCATGCCACCTGCTGGTCCCAATGTAATTTATACTTAGATCGGTCTTCTATAGTCTTTAGTTCTATTGCTGCGTCTCAGGAAATGTTATTAATATTTTGAAATATGTAAGTGGCAGTTTCTAAGTGAAATTTTTTAAACTATTTGTTCTTATTTTCTATTTCAGAGTGCACATTTGGCCATGATAGATACCTTGATGATGGCTTACACTGTAGAAATGGTCAGTATAGAAAAAGTGATTGCGTGTGCTCAGCAGTATTCAGCTTTTTTCCAAGCGACGGATCTGCCCTATGATATTGAGGATGCTGTCATGTACTGGATAAATAAGGTAGGATATACTCACTTGAGTGGAAGTGGTCTTACAAGAAAACATGAAATCCCAAATTATTTATTACTTCTCTATTGTTCTGTTTGTTTTAAATCACAGTGAAAGATGAAGTTGTGCAATTTACTTAACATTTTTAACTTTTAAAAGACTTAACATGAAAATATTGGGTCGTTGGAAAAGTCATGACATATTGTTTCCATGCAAAAATACGCATTTCTACGCACCACAATGTATTTCTATATATTTGGCATTGTCTAGATTTAATGACTAGTCAAGTTTATATCAGATTATTACAAAATACAGAGCACTCAGCATGAGGAGCTGTACACAGTGATTTTCAGTGAATATTTTTTTAGTCCAAGAATGAAATAAACTCCTCATATTTCCCACTAAGTAATTTGTAGGTTTTGATGACTGAGTTGCACACGATCATAATTGAGTATCAATTGCTTCTCTCAGAGATTTTATGGAATTGTGATTTGTACTTTGAAGATGATTAAATTGTCTATATTTCATTCCCTTTGCCAGTTTGAGTAGTTGATTCCTTTTGGTCTGCTTTCATTTTACAACTATCACCCCAAAGAAAAACTTGATCTGTGGGCAAGCATTGAACAGACTGAAAGAAATCGTACCTTCAGGGATCCTTCTTTGAATGCTTACAGGAAGCTTGTATTCAGTTAAATGTGGGCCAGCAGGTGGCATGGTCATGAAGGCTCTGAATCCCACAGGGCCAACTTTATCGAGTCCTGGACTCGGCAGCCTGAAAAACATACAAGGTGTGTATGTGCACAGTGCCCCAAAATCTTTTTTTTTTTTTTTAAGAGAGATTTTCACTATAGGGCGTGTGCGCTCACCAGACAGACAGAGAGAGACATAGAGACAGAAAGCGAGAAATCACCCCCCAGGGGGGATGGTCACGCCGCAATCCCTTCTCCTCCATTCTCCTCTCGGGATCTTGGGCACGCACGCACACGCGCCCGGCATGAGTTTTAAGCCACCAGGTCCGGGATGTGAACTGCGGCCGACTACGTGGGAGTCTAGCGACATAGCCATTATACTAACTGCTGGTTCCCAAGTGCCCCAAAATCTTGAGAATGGAGGAGAAGGAATTGCAGCATGGCCATCCCTCTGGAGAGCAATTTCTCCCTTCCCGGGATCTCTCTGTGTGTCTCTGTTTCTCATTCAAGTGTGTGCACATTTCCACGTGCCCTATGGCCAAAAAAAAAAAAAGTTAAAGGTAAAAACCACTCTTAGATGTATCAGTCTATCATTATCCATAGTATCTATGTAAGTGGTGGAGGCCTGTTGAATCCTCTACCTCTGGAGTTCCTTTAATTCTCCATTTCTAGCGATCTTTTTTTTCGGTCTTTCCCAACTATAGAGAATCCTAGTCACATCCTAGACCAGTTCACTATCAGATCCTCTGCATCACCCACCTCCCATTGCACACTTCCCACTCTCGAACAATTCCGCCTCTCTGCTCAACCCACTTGCTTTAAATCCCCCACTGTTACAAATGCTCAGCTTTATCCTGACTTGGAATCATTGAGCCTGTTCATTTCTCACAAGCTCACTTGACTTTACATTCTCCTTTTTGAACTTAGATTCCTACAGTTACTGTCACTTCTTCTGTCTCCTCTTCCCTCCCTGTTACTCATCTGGTAGCAGCTCAGATGATAAATGTTACCCATCTTATCTCTGCTTGCACCTAGGGAGATAAATGTTACTGGAAAAATTTACACAAAGAAGCTGATTTCACTTTGAATTCGTAAGTACAAATTTCAAAGGGCTCTCAGTCACTCACTACCAGTTCGACAAGCCTGTCCCTGAGCAGTTTGCTTTCCCACACTTCAAGGTGACTGTTTCATCCTTTCTCTGCTGATCTTCAGCTCTGTAACTCTTGCCATACTGTGACAGCTGTGCCTACTACACTCTACTTACCTCCAGTGGTCCTTTTTAGAGCCTTTGGAAATTACCATCTCTTCTTACTTGAACATATGTAAAGTTTTCTGCTCAGCACTCATTGTCTTCTCCTCCGCCCCACTGTTAAAATGGAGAAAAATTTCCCCTTCCTGTCAAAGGCAAGTTCTCCACTACCTGATACTTTAAAACGCCATTTCTTTTCCATTTTTCATGTTCATCTGTCGTCTGCTTCATTTCGTCTCACTTTAATGTGCATAAGAGTCACCTGGGAACTTGTTAAAATGCAGGCTCTGACTCAGTGGTTTGGGGTGGGGCTGCGAGGCTGCTTGGCTCATACAGCTGTGCTAACTGCGCTGATCCGTGGGCCACCCTGTTCCTCCCTCCTGCATCTTCTGGTATTTGCTTCCTGTTGGGTCATTCTCATATGAATACAGACTTGCTGTAGCATCTCTCGTCCTCCCATTGCACACATTGTAAATGAAACTTCCCCATCCGGATCTAACCCTGTTTTTTCTGTGCTGTGCACAGAAATAATTGAGTATCGATTTCTTTTCTCAGAGATTTTTATGGAACCGTAAAAGTTATTTACTCATTCGCAAGCTGTTTCTGCTTGCTCCTCCATCCCCTCCCTGCCGCAAATTGTTCCTGAGTTGGTCAGTAAAGGCATCCATGTTGACAAATCCAATGGATACTTTTCTGTCTTTAATTTAAACTCAATCTTTACTTCCAAAGCCTGAGCAGCACTTCTAAAGTTTCGGCGGAAAACCTGAAGTGTTTACCAAGCTCCCCTCTACTTCGGTGGGATTTACAATTCACATACTGTCTCGGCTGCAATGGCAGTTGCTCTGGCCTCCCAGCAGCTGTTTTCTTTTTCTTTTTCTTTTTAGAGTTATTTAACTTTATTTATTGTGATTATTTTCCAATTTTGGTCGAAGAGAGACAGAAAGTGAGAAAGCAAGCCACCAGGTCTGGGACTCGAACCATGGTCAGCCATATGGGAGTCCAGCACCTTTAACCACCACGCCACCTGCTGGCCCCAGAGCTGCTGGGTTCCTTGGCGTCTTTCCTACACTTGTGCCATCCATCAGCTAGAAATGTGAGGGCAGTTTATATGCAGCTTTTGGGCATCCTCTATTCGTGATTCCAGAGTATTCCTCCTCAGTGTCCAGCCACTCTGACAGTGCCAGCCTTCTCCCTTGTTTCCTCAAGCCAACAAGACTACAGTTTCCCATTTTAGTTCTAGCCTCTGAATTGAGGGGAGGGCCATGTACACGTGGATTTCAATCAGTGTGTTCCTTTGTCTTCAGGGTCGAATACCTTCCTGCTCTGTCTGTTTTGGGTTGCTTGTTACTACCTCCTATAGTTGTTTTTTATATTTTGTCTCAAGTAATTTTGTCTAGAAATTGCTGTCACTGGGAGGCTTAGTGTGCTGTTATCCCACTGTTAACAGAACTAGAATCCTCAAAGGTGTCTTTTTACATTGCAGCTTGGATCATGTCATTCTTTTGCTTAAAATTCTTCAGTGGCTTCATTTTACACTTGAATTACCATCTACTCTGACCCCTGTATCTTTCTACCTTGGGCTCATGAACATTGTTCATCATTCTTTTCTCCAATTTTTCCCCTCCTTTTTTTTTCCTTCGATTATTGTTGCTGCTAGAGGGGCACACATGTTTGCCAGTTCGAGAGTGAGAGTACCCCACAGTGGGACATGTTCATGCCACAGTCATTTTTCGTTGTTTTTCCATCCAGTCAGGATTTGGGGCATGCATGCACATGTGCCTGTTACGTTTTTTCAAGCTGCTGAGGCTGTGATCGAACTATGGTTAGCCATGTGGGATCTAGCTCCCAATGCACAGCACTTAACTGCTGCACTATAGGGCTGGCCCTTCTCTCATTTTTTATGGTAAATTTATTTTATGTTTGTATTTTAGCCAGCAAAAAAAAAGGCAGCTGAGTTAGGATGAGCCAGAACAAGAGCCAGAAAGAGGAAATACTATATCTGAGAAGCAAGGGTGAAGTCCTATGGGAAAATAAATACTATGAGAAAATAAATAATGAAGCTGAGGCTGGTAGAATGAAGCAAGGAAAAAAATACACTCTGGGGTTCATGTTGAATCAAATGGATTGAAACTTAATCTGAAAATGAAATGGGGTGGGTACGGCCGCATAACGAGCATCCCTCGTTGATTTCCTCATCTTTCTGTGTGAAGTCACAGTTTAAATTAAAACAGTAATTTCAGGGAACATTTTATTTTTACTGGTTCTAATGTAGATTGTAACATTATAACTAAAAAAAAGTATTACTTTACTTCCTCAGCATGAAAACTGACATTATCACACACTTTTTTTTCTTTTGCATTCCATACATAAATAGTTCTTGGCTTATAGTGGATACTCAGCAAGTATTTGATAAATTAATTAATTGTAGAATATGAATTAAAGTACCTGTAAAAAAACTTTTTCTGGTGTCAAAATGGTGTTTTCTTCATATGGCTGGTACTGATCCTCAACAGAAAGGATCAGACCATGTGTATTCCAGGGTGTGGGTTGTTTTATTGCTTAAACTTGGATATAAGTTTAAATCATTGTTTTTATATTTTAAGGTAAATGAACATTTGAAAGACATCATGGAACAAGAACAGAAATTGAAAGAACCTCCCACAGTTGAAGCTCCAGGAGGTCAAAAGGTATATATTTCAAGGGAAAAAAAGTTCCTTTATGAAGCTGTCTATGTAGTCACATATATGTGTTATTTGGGAAATGTTAATAGCTATGTTTATTAAATTATTCTTTAGTGGTGTTAACTGTACTCTAGGAAATCATGTCATAAGCACTAACAAATAAAAACCGAAGGTTAATTGGATGATGATATTGGTAGGAAAATGGTTAAAGACTCAATTTCTGATGTTCTTTTGGCACAGAGGATGGTTTTGCCCTTCTTTGGTAAAAATGTGTGAAACAAGAAAACCATTTTAAATGTGTCGGTCTTTAATAATATTTTAGAAATTGCAAATTATATGTTTATTTGATAAAGAAAAATGAACATTAACGTGAATTCATGTTTTAAAAATTCTTTTAAAGTTTTCTTTTTTGAAAACTGAATTATGTATTTGTCACTTACTAAGACCAAAAGTCTATTTTCTACAAAATGTATTATAATAAGAGCCCTTTAAACATCTTGTATTGTATTTAATTGAAGTATAAAAAAGTAGAATTATCAGAAACTTTATTTTTCATTTGATTATTTAATCCTTTTCATTATTACACAGTATTTCTATTTATTTTGGGTTAATCCTACTAGGAAAGGGAAGTTGTTTTGTCTGTTACCAACTTCAAAAATTTTGTCTTCTAAAATTTTGTCTAAATGTGATGATTTGGGATCACACTAATTTCCCTAGTCTAGCTTACTGATTAGCTCTTGAAAACATGAACAGCTGGGTTAGGATGAGCCAAAACAAGAGCTGAGAAGCAAGGGTGAAGTCCTATGAGAAAATAGATAATGAAGTTGAGACTGGTAGAATGGAGGTAGGAAAGAAATACAGTGAGGTTCATGTTGAATCAGATGGATTGAAACTTAATCTGAAGTCCTTAAACTTAATCCGTTTAATCCTTTATCATAAATTTGTCAAAGCCCCTTCCCTAAAATTAGATCAGAATGGAATTCTCTTTTTTTTTTTTTCTTTTTTTGGAGAGGTTTTTGTTATAGGGTGCATGCACTCTCTAGAGAGGCAAAGAGAGACAGAGACAGAAAGCGAGAAACAGACTGCGAGATGGCCACATCGCAGTCCCTTCTCCTCCATTCTCCTCTTGGGATCTTGGGCATGCACGCATACGTGCCAGGCATGAGTTTAAGCAGCCGGGTCCGGGTCTCGAACCACAGTCGACTACAGGGGAGTCCAGCAACACAGCCATTACGCTAACTGCTGGTCCCGGAATTCTCTATTTTCATCACCCCAGAGTACAGGTCTTATTTCCTTGCCTTCAACCACCTGTTCTATCTCTTTCCTTTCACATCCCCTTTTCCTTTCCTGTTGGTTGCTCTCCCTTTCTCTTTCCCATGTCATAGGATTTGAAACCTTTGCCTTGGGCATGCCTGTCCCTCAGTTTTGCTCCTGGCTCTTACCAGTAATAAGGTTAAGGTGGCCTCATTCTTAAGTTATAACACTATGAAGTTATAACTACTATAGAAAATTAAACTTTTCCACAGTAATCTCGTTTATTACATATGGTGGTTACATTCTATAGTATTGCACGCATCAGGAGCTAACCTGAGGTTTTATATTCTGACATAGTATGCAATAAACATTATTTTTGTGGGAAAAAAGCCATTTGTATGTGAAACAACCAGATTAAGTGACCTATAAGAAAAATTAATTGTATGGAATCCAGATACAATTTATATTGCTCCAGTTTGATTTTTCACAGCACTTACCCTATGCAATTCCACTTATTACCTACACAGCCAATATTATTGAATGAGTAAGTAAAAGAAATGATTATGTAATTCATTTTTAAATATTTGGATTAGTACAAATTTTTATTTCAGGACATAGCATTTATACCTTTATTTTTATATAAACTTTATTCTTTTTTCTATTAGAATCTTTATGAAAATAAACATTAACTTCACATAGTCTTACTGCAGGTACAGGTGTCGTCATTATGAAGAAACACGGTGTCAGAAGGAAAGGAATCATGCTCTGTTACCTAATAGTGGAGTTTTTGACATTTGAACGACATGGTTTAGCTGGAAATGTTACTCCGTTCTTGATTTTTAATTCTGTAAAAGCAAACTTCATGATCCTTTCTCCTTTAGGAATGAGAGATTTTTTCTATTTCTATGTAATTGTTCAGAAATTGCCTCTCTTCACATTTACTTCAACTAGTTTGCCTAAGTAGGTGTACTCAGAGGCCTAACGTTTTTTTTCCTGTTACTTACCCAGTTGTAGTCAGAACTCAGGCTGTTGGATGGTAACATATCTTACCTTTGTGCTTGCCAACTACTCCCAACTCATATATGTCCTAAAGAACTTAAGAAACATCTTTTTATAGGCTCATTCTTGGTAAAACATACATATGTTGAAGGACATTTGTACTGTATACTAATACAGATGGGTTGAAATGAAAGATTCTAGAGGTATTTATTTAGGATATCAGATCCTCTTATGATGAATTTTTGATTTGGGGATTAGTTGGTGTCCTAAGAAAGGGGCATTTCAAATAGTGTCTTGCCCTAGAAAAGTGTTTTGTTTACACAGATTACTAATGGCATATTCTTTATTTCCTTCAAGTTTATCTTTTTGTCTCTAATGTTCTTTGCAACTCTAGAATAGGATGCCCAGTTAAATCTGAATTCCAGATAAATAATTTTGGTATAAACTGCATGGTGTCTTGTTGCAGATCTTTAAAGATCTGTTAGATTTGTAGCCAAGATGACATCAAATCCAATGTTCAGTCTCTTAAATTTGCACAGAGTACTGCACTTAAAGTCAAAATAGGTCTGCCACTAAATAGCTTCACGACCTTTACAAAGGCACTTGATCTCTCAGACTTCATTTTCTTTGTAAGTAAAAATTAAAAGGTTGGATTAAATGATATCTAAATTCTGTAATTTAAAGATTTTTAAACTTGGGGAACCAGCAGTTAGCGTAATGGCTATGTCGCTGGACTCCCACGTAGTCGACCGCGGTTCACGTCCCGGACCCTGTGGCTTAAAACTCACGCCGGGCGCGTGTGCGTGCGTGCCCAAGATCCCGAGAGGAGAATGGAGGAGAAGGGATTGCGGCGTGACCATCCCCCCTAGGGGGTGATTTCTCGCTTTCTGTCTCTATGTCTCTCTCTGTCTGTCTGGCGAGCGCACGCGCCCTACAGTGAAAATCTCTCCAAAAAAAAAAAAAATTAAAAAAAAAAAAAGATTTTTAAACTTTCCTTTCTCATACATTAGTAGAACATAAGGAAGGGGCTCAAAAACAAAAGGTTAGTGAAAATAGTCCATGGTTGGTTATCATAGACTTTTTAGATACATGTTACTAGCAGATGCATAATTATTGTGTGAGTGAATATCTAAAATGGCCTTCTCGAGGATGTGGGGCTTAACAGGGCCTTCGTAGGTTTTATGATACTGAAAAGGAGGGCACTAGGTCACAGGGAATAACAAGAGTGGAAATGCCATGTTATAACTGCAAGGCACATTTGAGAATTAAGGCGACCGATTTGGCAAGATCATTTCTGTAAGAGCTGTGAATTCACGGGTTTGTATTACTAAGTTTACAATATTATGTAGAGAGCAAAGTTTAAAGTTTATCAAAATCAACTGTTCAATGTGGTACTTGCCACTTTTAAGAAAAATATTTCTGAGCTATTATACAGTAGGCTATGAGAATTAGATCAAGGAATTACCTTTGGAGAAAAGACATTCACTGACCTCTAATTGGTTTTCATGGGAAGGTATGGTCTCAAAATAGGCTAATTTAGGACCAGCAGTTAGCGTAATGGCTATGTCGCTGGACTCCCACATAATCAACCATGGTTTGAGTCCCGGACCCGGTGGCTTAAACTCACGCCAGGCACATGTGCGTGCGTGCCCAAGATCCCGACAGGAGAATGGGGGAGAAGGGATTGCGGCGTGGCCATCCCCCCTAGGGGGTGATTTCTCACTTTCTGTCTCTGTCTCTCTCTCTCTCTGTCTGGCGAGCGCACATGCCCTATAGCAAAAATCCTCAAAAAAAAAAAAATAAATAAAAATAGACTGCGCTTTCCCCAGTGCAAGGTTAGGTAAATGCTTACCCATCCTTGGTTCATTAGTTCAGCCCATTTGAATTTCTCCCTTGACCAAAGTTCCTTAGCAATTAAAAACTATAACCCACTTTTTATTTTTAATTTTTTTTTCAAACAATACTTCAAAGTACTATTCAGTGTTTGAGAAGAGTTCCAAAGTCAAATATATTTGGGAAATGCTGCCTAGCTTCTTTAAGGATGTTACCATTTCAGTATCAGTAAAGGCCTAGTAAAAGAGCCTGTGTAGCCTTTCCCCCCAGTTGTTTTGTTTATGTTTGAACTTCTTATGAATGACATCTACTAATGTTTCATAGAATTAATGTTCTTTGGAACATATGTTAGAAAGCATTGATTTCTAATCCATAACTTAATATTTGATTAAGCTGTCTATTTCATACATATATAAATATATGAAACAAACATTTGATGTTTAAATTAATGCTTCCCTCTCAAGATACATCAAATGATTTGACTCCTACATTTACCTAGGTTTCCTTTTTCATATTGTTACTTCGGTTAGAAAATTGTGAAGACTTGACCTGTCTGAATTAGATCATCTTTGTTTAAACTCTGCCCTTAAGATTCTTTTCTGTAAAATCTATCAGAAGAGAAAAATCTATCCTTCTACGGGCTTCTTTGGTCAGTGCTAATTTATTATTTTTAAAATACCTATTGTTAACATGTGTATTCTCTTTTATAATAATTTTCTTACCCTTATGGGAAAAACAATATCCCAATCTAGAATATGTTCTTTTTCTGTTATTAATTCATTTAGTATAGTTAAGTGAGGAACTTGGCCTTTTAAACATTTTTATTAAAGTTTATGTGGTTCTATGAGGGAGAGAGAGGGAGGTGAGAGGGAGAGAGAGAGAATGAGACCTTCAACGAGGTCTTCGTGCGCTGACCCTCCCTAACCTCAACCAGCCCAAATCGTGGACATGCACCCAACATGTACATGGAGGCCCTAGGACAGGAACTTGGGACCTTCCCATGTGGGTCTTTCATCGCGAAGCATTGTGCTACCACTGTACCACAATCTGACCTTCTAAAATTTTTTAAATTCAGAGATGGTACCAAGATTTTAATCTTTGCCTAAGAGTGCTATAACAGAGATTACTCCAGCAGTTTTGGGACCAGCAGATGGCATAATGGTTATGTTGCTGGACTCCTATGTAGTGTACTGTGGTTCAAGTTCTGGAGCAGGCGGCTTGAAACACACCGAGTGCACATGCAGGCATGCCCAAAATCCTGAGAGGAGAATGGAGAAGGGATTGCCAAGTGGCCATCCCCCTTTGGGGGTGATTTCTTGCTTTCAGTCTCTCTCTGTCTCTCTGGTGAGTGCACATGCCCTATAGCAAAAATCTCTCTTAAAAAAATATAAAAAGATTACTCCAGTAGTTGTATACCAATAGTCTTGTGCATTTGGATATAATATCCTACAAAAACCTGGAATGGTATAAACTTAATACAACTTTTATTTTAAAGGTTTTCATCAAATAGCCAATCATTGGGTTTTTCTTTTTCCTCCTTTAATGAGATTGTTATCATAAATGGGTAGCATTTTTTTAATTGGATTGTATATTTTGACTTGCATTCCAGCCCCAAGATAGCTCATTTTATATATATGCAAATATTGTAAAACTTAGAAAAACCTAAAACAGTCTGTACCTGAGCATTTTTGTTAAGGGATACTCAGCCTGTATTATATGTGATTCCAGAACTCAGAAATAAAATTCTTCATTATTGAAGTATACAGTATATCCTAGGCATCCAAAATTGAATTTCTGTATGGGGAGAAAAAAAGAACGAATGAAAAGGGGTGGTGGTTTTTATCATTAGAAGCCTATATATTTTTAACTAAAGTATTAACATTAAACAATATCATGAGAACCATAAACTTGGAACTCCAGTATCAGAAGCTTTACTATAATTTGTTAATTGAAAATAATTCTGATGAATTTTCACTTTACCTTTTAATTTTGCCTCTTTTTCTGCTGCTTCCTCTGAAGTCTCCTTCCAAATGGTTTTGGAAACTGGTTCCAGTAAGTTTGCTCAGCTCTTTCAATTTGCTCACCAGAATTGTAATTGTAGAGTTGTATTACTTATGTCTTGCTGGTGTGGTCATTTCATAATTCTGGTAGTCACTGAGATTCTAAGGTGTTCGATGATAGTGTCAAATGGAAAGATAAAAGATCTAGCCAAAGTTTATATAGTTTTAAAAGTAATTTACAGGGTAAGCATCCTTTCTAAATCTTGTTAATATTCACAATCAGTAAATAGGTGAAAAAAAGGCCCTTATGGAAATAGAGCCTCATTTTAATAATTTTAGTGAAAGTTAATTTGGAGTACATATATAAATTGTTAAAATCATCTCTTTGACAAATCATTTCCTTTTCAGCCTGTACTGTAGAAATCACTTAACTTTTTGAGTGATTAAAAAAGCAAAAAATGGGGCCAGCTGGTAGTGTGGAAGTTAAGGCAGCTGGATCCCACATAGCCAATTCCATGGTTCAAGTCCCAGAGCTGGCAGCTTGAAAAAGCACACTGGGCTCATGAGCCTACATGCCCAAATTCCTGAGAGGGGAATGGAGAAGGGATTGTGGTGTTGCCCACTCCCCTGGGGGGGTGATTTCTCAGTTTCCTTTTCTCTTTCTCTGTCCGTGTCTCTCTGGTGAGTGCACATGTCCTATAGCAAAACGAAAAATAATAAAATAAACAAACTCTTTAAAAGAAAAAAAGCAAAAGGTTGTCCATGTCCCCATGAGTATTGAACCTTAACTATATTCGTTCTGACTTGACTTATAGGGTTGATCTTTCAGGATTAAGTCTGGAGGGCTAAACCACTTAACTATTTTATGGGTCTCTCAGGTGGTGTGGTAGTCAAAGGTGCTGGACTCCCACATGGCCAACCACAGTTCAAGTCCTGAACGTGGTGGCTTGCTTTCTCACTTTCCCTCTCTCTCTCTCCCTCTCTCTCTGTCTGTCTGATCAAACTGGAAAATAACAGTAATAATAAATAAAGTTAAATAAAATAATTCCTTAAGAAAAAGAACTATTTTACATCTCAGGAATAAAAAATATGATTTATCAACACACCATAATGTTGAAATAGAGAAAATGCCAAATTTCAAAGTTTGTACAAAGAACAGAGAATGCTCTCATGCACTGAATTTACAAAGTATACAACATGTTCAGCTATAAAAGGTTCTTTAACTTTTATGAATTGCAGATTAATTTTCTGAGTTGCATATAACCTCAAGATTTAAAGTTGATTTGCCAGATATATCTTCTTAGATACAATGTGTAGGAGATTGCTTTGGCATGCCAGTCATAATTCTTTGTTTTTCGAAGTCATAGGCATTTATTGTGAATGCCATCTAAAGTGTGTGTGTGTGTGTGTGTGTGTGAGAGAGAGAGAGAGGGAGGGAGGGAGGGGTGGCGTGGCATAGGGGAATAGAACAAACCACGCAATTTAGCTTTTGTTCCATAACCCTGGGTACTTTTCTCATTCTAATTCATTAATTCATTTTGTAGGCTGAGGAACAGCTAGTCCCAGAGATGACCTGGAAAGTTTGAGATTGGTTCCAGCTCACCTAGGGAGTGTCCAGGAGGTAGACTGTGTAGATTCTGCATGGCCAGAGTGAGGGTGTCAGGGTCTGCAGCAGTGCTCACTAAGCATGACAAGGGTAGCTTAGGCTGGAGCTGCTACTGGTTGATGGCTCGTCTTGTCTTCTCTCATCTCGTCCTCTTTTCTCTGGTTGATTATAAACTATCTCCCAACAGAAGAATAAAGAGCTTTCATAGGATCATATAAAAATCAGTTCAAGAATATATATAGTGGGAACCAGCAGTTAGCGTAATGGCTATGTCGCTGGACTCCCACGTAGTCAACTGCAGTTCGCGTCCCGGACCTGGTGGCTTAAAACTCACACTGGGCGCTTGTGCATGCGTGCCCAAGATCCTGAGAGGAGAATGGAGGAGAAGGGATTGCAGCGTGACCATCCCCCCTGGGGGGTGATTTCTCGCTTTCTGTCTTTATGTCTCTGTCTGTCTGGCGAGCGCACGCGCCCTATAGCGAAAACCTCTCAAAAAAAAAAATATATATATATAGTACACGTAAGTAGTTATTTTCTGCAAAAGTATTCTGTATTCTGTGAGTTAGGAACATACCATTAAATACAGATGTCTTACCTGCACTGAGTAAGAACAGGCTCCTCCAAAAATCTTCAGAAGGAAAATGTATTTCATGAATCTTAAGCAGGAATAAATATCTTTCTTCATTAATGCATGTGCTTTTTGGAGGGATGTCATTTAAAAGAAATTTCACATCACCGCCTAATGTTAAATATTCTTTCAGTAAATCCTTATTTTTCTATTTTTATTCTCACAAGGTATTTTATTTCATCATTATATTTTAATTGTAAACCATAGAGATGACCAGTTTAGCTGAAATTAGAAGGAAAATTAGTTTATGGGACCAGCAGAGGGCTTAGTGGTTACATCACTGGATTCCCACATTGCTGACTGTGTTTCGAGTCTGGACTTGGCAGCTTGAAATTCACACCAGGCACACATGCATGCGTGCCCACCCAAAATCCCCAGAGAAGAATGGAGGAGAAGGGATTGTGGGATGGGCATCCACCCCAGGGTATGATTTCTTGCTTTCTGTCTCTCCATCTCTCCAGTGAGTACATGTACCCTATAGCAAAACTCTCCCTTTAAAAAAAAAGGAAAAATTAGTTTCAATTACCTTTTTTAAAAAATAACTATTTAGTAGGCTAGCAAGTGGTGGTGTGGTTCAGGCACTGGATTCCACATGACTGAATCTATGGCTTAAGGTTCAGACCTGGCGGCCGGAAAAACACATGAGGAACATGTGCATAAATGCCCGAAATCTCAAGAGGAGACTGGAGGAGAAGGGATTGTGGCATGGCCATTCCCGGGGGGGGGGGGGGGGGGCAGGAAGGTTAAATTTCTCACTTTCCCTTTTTCTTTGTCTCTCTCCAGTGGGTGCACATACTCTCCTGCAAAGAAAATCTAAAAGTATAATTAAGTAACTATTTAAGTATCAATAACCTATGTAATCATCATTTTGCTAAATTTATAAAATACTGTAGTCTGTATCTTTACTAAATCTTTTCTCCCCCACAAACATTTACTTTACATATCAAAAAATTTTTGCTCATACTCCATAGTTCTTGGCAGTTAAAAAACAAATTTCAAAATTTCAAAAACCTGAGTTTTAAAGATAATATTCAAAATATTTATTATAATTTAGTTTGTGACTGTAACTACAGAGACAGTATGGTTTTTAATATTTTTGAGAAAACATTTACAGGTCAGCTACTCAAACTGTTGAAAAGCAAATGCCCAGCACACAAGTTCACACATAAATCTTCTCAATTCAGCCCCGCCTACCAAGTATTCTGTGATAGACCATCTGCTAGCAAAGATCAGTCTCTTTTTCTACCTTCAGCGTCTTCCTCAAGATAATCCTCTAGTTGTGGTTGCTCTTTTGCAATCTCTACTTTTTACAGTGCTGTGCTGGAAAAGTCCAGGTTGTTTTAAGGTACAAATTCTTTCATAGAGCTTCTCTAATCCTCTCTGCCAGGCAGAGCTGTTTATGGTGGCAGGCCATCTTTCTGCGAGCTTCCGTTGGCTTACTTGAGATCCACCTTTAGTTCCATAGTTTTCTGGTTAATCTTCAGTTTTGACATTTCAGTCAAAGCTCTGTCCAGTTATGAGTATTTCCAATTTCTGATTCAAGGCAACAGGTATTACTGAACTTATGCAAATAACCCTTCTGCCACAAAATAAGAATACTCCCAAACATTTTCTAATTCCAGCACCTCCACTAAATCTTCAGCATTAGCTTTCTTGCCTGTAGGAGAGCTACTAAAGAGCCAACCTATACTGGTGGCTTGCTCTGTATCCACCAGCGAGCAGCACTGTGTGTTCCTCATCCTGCTTAACACTCCAGTGCTTCTATGACGTCGGTACTCTTAGTGTCCATATTTGAAAGTTCAAGTGAATCTAAGATCATAAAGTGGCAGAACCAGAATTCGAACCCAGGTAATTTTATTCAAGAGCTTGTTCTCTTAACCTCTTTCTTTCTTTCTTTCTTTCTTTCTTTCTTTCTTTCTTTCTTTTTTTAATAGCTATAGGGCATGTACGCTAGCCAGAGAGAGACAGAGGGGAAAAGTGAGAAATCACCCCTCAGGGAGATGGCCACACTGCAGTCCTTTCTCTGTTCTTTTCCCAGAATTTTGGGTATGCAGGCACACACACTCATTCTTAATTTTCAAATTGCCAGGTGACCAGCAGATAGTGTAATGGTTATGTCACTGGACTCACACGTAGTCGACTGTAGTTCGAGTCCCGGACTGGTGGCTTAAAACTCATGCCGGGCACATGTGCATGCGTGCCGAAGATACTGAAAAGAGAATGGAGGGGACGATTTCTCACTTTTTGTCTGTCTCTGGTGAGCACATGCGCCCTATAACAAAAATTTCTCTAAGAAAACTAAAACAAATCTGCTGGGTCCAGGACTCAAACTGTGTAGTCAGCCATGTGGGATCTGGCCACCTTAATCTCTATGCCACCTGCTGGCCTCCTTTTAACCATTTTTACAGCATGTCTCACTTTTATAGAACTGTGTTAAAATTTTATATCTAGCCACATACCAACCAGTCTTTGGAAAAACAACGTTTGTTCTGTTTTTCTGAGTGGGAGAAGGAACCCTTATACTTGCTATCTCATTGGACAGTGAAACCTGAAATTGAAATTTTCAGTTTCAAACTTAACACTTTTTTTGCTTTATTTCAACATTCAAATGACAAGCTAGGACCGGCTCTCTGGCTGGTAGTAATGTACTGCACAGAGAAGCCAGATTCAACATGGCAGCAGTGGTTCGAACCCCTGGCCTGGTCAACCTGAAATACACTGAGCATTAGTGCAGGTGTCCCAAGTGGACTGGAGGACTGGAGGAAAGGGGTTGCAGCATGACCAGACTCTGTGGAGAGGCTTCTGTCTCTCTCTCTCCTGTACCCAAATGTACTCTATCAGAAATAAAGAAAAAACATTTTTAAAAATGATGAACTAGAATATCTTTGTGATATTATTCTAGTTTCTCAAAAGTAATTTTTTTTTAATCTCTAAATTTTCTTTAGGGAGAGTATATTCTTCTACCTGTCTCCTGTGTTTGGTAACTCTTGTAATTTTTTCCATGCAAATAATTCTCATATAAACACTTTAAGTATTTCTTTTTGTTTTGTTTTGTTTTGTTTTGTTTTGAGAGGTTTTTGCTATAGGGCGCATACACTTGCCAGAGAGACAGCAAGCAAGAAATCACCCCCCAGAGGGGATGGCCACACCGTAATCCCTTCTCCTCCATTCTGCTCTCAGGATCTGGCACACACACACACACACGCCTGGTGTGAATTTAAGCCAGTGGGTCTGGGACTTGAACCGCGGTCGACTACATGGGAGTCCAGCGACACAGCCATTATGCCAACTGCTGGTCCCAAACTTTTAGTCTTTCTGTGTAAGAACTTTCAATCTAAATTAAGTCTAATATTAAATAAATGAATTTTATCTACAAAAGAGCAGCAGAACTGATGATTTGGATACAAGATATTCAAAATCTGTTTTGTCATGGTTTTATATTTAAGTAAATGTCTTTTCATGTAAGTTAGCATATAATATATAAATATTTAGCTTCAAAACTGTAGTGTGTTTGTGTGTATTTGACTTTGGTGATGTTATTTAGAAAATAAGGATATTGATAAGTAGTTCACATTTCTCTTGATTTGTATTTTATTATTGATACATTAGAACCTACAGTACTGTTTTTTCCCTCCCTGTGTGTTGCTTTTATACTTAAGGCAAAACTCTTTATATTGTAGGCTCGTTATAGGAAAGAGCAAACATTGCTTAAGCAGCTGCCCTGTGTCCCGTTGGTAGAAAATTTGTTGAAGGATGGTACTGATGGCTGCGCGTTAGCTGCCCTTATTCATTTCTATTGTCCTGGTGTTGTCAGATTAGAAGGTGAGTGTGCCGGTTAAGTATTTCTGAACTACAGATAAATGGTAACAAATACTTAACATAATATAGTGAATAAGTAATGATGGCCTTTTAAATAAAGAAAATTTATGTGTAATCCTGAGAATGACAATTGAGGAAGTAGTCTTTGGTTTTAAGTCTTTCTCTGTAATGACTATGATATTTAGTAAACAGATTCCACATAATTGTGTAATTTTGTGTGAAATCACTAGTTACTAAATAGACATGAAATTTGTATTATCGAATTAATCCAAAGTTATCACCTTGCTCTTTTCTTATTTGAAGATATATGTTTGAAAGAAACTATGTCTCTGGCCGATAGCCTGTATAACCTACAGCTGATTCAGGAGTTCTGCCAAGAGTACCTGAACCAGTGTTGCCATTTCACCCTGGAAGATATGCTCTATGCGGCTTCATCCATAAAGGTAATGAAATCATTCTCTTCTTCCATTGCTTTGGTAAAGTTTATTTCAATATATTTATATATTTATATACATATATATATATATATATATATATAAAAACAAGATATGTAAATGGCTTAGGTGCTTTAAGTTAACAGATAACTATGATCGCACAAGAGAGCTTTTGAAAAAATAGTTTTTTGCATGTTATAAGCAGAGATAACCCACAAAGACACAACTTGGTAAACAGTTCAAAAGCAGATTGTGAGACCAGCCAGTAGCATGGTGGTTTAGGTGGCTATATCCCACATGACCAGTTGCATGATTTGAGTCCAGGACCTGGCCACTTCAGAAACATGCCAGGCACATGTGCGTGTGTGCCCAAAATCTGGAGAGGCAGAAGCAGTGGAGAAGGGATTGCAGTGTGACCATCCTCTCTGGGGAGTGCTTTCTCACTTTGTTTTTTTCTCCCTAACGAGTGCATGCACCCTCTGCCAAATTTAAAAAAGAAAAAGCAAATTGTGAAAACAAACTAGGTACATCTGCAGCTTTCGAAGAATTTTAGGATATGCACAAGCACCTACTCTAGATTACCACCAAGTCTCACACTTGCATTATTAGAACAAAGCCCTAATTAATAGGATAAAGAAACTACAGAAAGTTAGTTTGTAAGTTGTTAAAATGAAAAGAGATAGTATTAAACAAGTTTGTCAGCAAAATGTAAAATGACAAAAATTGGGAATTATTACAAATTTTAGAACATTTCTGGACCCACATTGACAATTGACAAGTATTTTTGAGGGCTTGAAAGGCTCTGTGCTAAGGCTGGGAATTTTTTCATTTATTACTTCATCAACAGATATTTTTTGCTTATCTCCACATGCTAGACACTGTCCTCAGGTTGGGGCATATAGCAGTGGACAAAGGCTCTCCCCCCTTCCCTGCAAAAATAAATCTGTCCTCAGTGCTTACGTGACGGGGTTAGGCGAAGAGACAGATTGGTAACAAATAGTGACAGTACAGTGCTGTCATGTGCAGGTAAGATTGCCCAGTCTTGGTGGTGCAGTGCGCAGTGCTGAAATCCGTGTGGCTGTCCACTGCTGCAGATCCTCGTGTCAGACTGAAAATATGCTAGGTGTGTGTTTCCTCGAGATCCTGAGGAGCTAGAGGCCTGGGAAAAGGAGGCCACAGTGTAATAAGATGCTTTGTAAGGTGCTTTCTCTCTCCATATGCGTGTACATGTGCTGCCATTGGGGAGAAAACCCAGAAACCTAACATGGTGGGAGTGAAAGGAAACACCAGTCACTTTCAGCATTCATCAGGGTCAGTGGGATGTGTCCCAAAGGAAGGAACCCTTCAGATCCTAGGACCTGGAAAAAACCTACCATGGGAAAGGAAGAGGGAAGGAAATATTAAAATAGTCTGAAAATGATTCTTTTAAAAACAGTTTTCTGGTTTTGTTTGTTTTTAGCCATTGCATTTGCCCCATCCTTCAGAGTACCACATACTGACCGTTAACATGAAGTCATTATTTACTGCTGGTTTTTTGCTTTTTGTTTCAAAAATATTTATTGAGCACCCTAATGGTGTTTTAGGTAGCTAGAATAAATCAGTGAACAAAACAAAGATCTCTGTCCTTTTGCCACTTATTTTCAAGTGGCAAAGACAGATATGTGTCTCAGGCATATCTGCTTTTGAGCTGCAACATAAAAAGCAACTTCTTGATCCAGAATATCATGTTGTAAAACAGTAACTTGCTGTTTATTTCCTATGGCCCACAGCTATACAATATCACGTCTCTTACATACTTGCCTAAAATTTACCAATTCTTTTTTTTTTATTAAGATTTTTGCTAATAGGATACACGCATTTGCCAGACAGACAGAGACAGAAAGTGAGAAATCATCCCCCCGGGGGATGGCCATGCCACAATCCCTTCTCCTCCATTCTCCTCTCAGGATTTTGGGCACACATGCACGCCTGGTGTGTTTTCAGCCACTGGGTCCACTCAGACTGCTGTCAACTACGTGGGAGTTCAGCAACATAACCTTTATACCATCTGCTGGTCCCAAGTTTATTGATTCTGTTTCAAGGTTTTAGAAATATGATCTTATAGGGAACCAGCAGTTAGTATAATGGCTATGTCGCTGGACTCCCACGTAGTCGACCGCGGTTTGTGTCCCGAACCCGGTGGCTTAGAACTCATGCCGGGCACGTGTGCATGTGTGCCTAAGATCCCGAGAGAAGAATGGAGGAGAAGGGATTGCGGTGTGACCATCCCCCGTGGGGGGTGATTCCTCGCTTTCTGTCTCTCTGTCTCTCTCTGTCTGTTTGGCGAGCGCATGTGCCCTATAGCGAAAACCTCTCAAAAAAAAAAAAAAAGGAAAAAAGAAATATGATCTTATAATAGATTTTATGTAAAAGTTTGGCTGAGGAGAAACTTTATATTGATCTTAATTTTATTTCCAATGCTGACCTTAAAAGAAACTGAATGGACCTCTTTCATAGTAATTCTAGTGCCTGTGCTTTCTAAATTCTTAATATACGGTATCTGTCTCTTTTTCCTTTGACCATTTCTGGATTACCAAAGGTAGAAGGTAGAGCTGATGGTGAAGGCATTTCCAAAATTAGCCACTACTCCTGGTGACCTCCTATCTGAGACTTCAAAAGAAAAACCTTGGGCCGGCAGTGACATGGGGTTAAGATGCTAGAGCCCAGCATTTCAATTGCGCCCCTATTAAGATGGACTGTTTGCAGCTTCCACTGCCATAAACAGTCCTACGTATGCCTTTGTGCATTTTAAGTATGGTTAAGGAATCAAAGTGCCCTGCCCTCTAAAATGGCTACCCCAGTTCCTGCTTCTACCAAGATGGGAAGACAGTGCTCATTCCCTCAACTTTCACAAACACCTCATTATTAAAGTTAGGTGAAAGTGAGGTGCCTCGCATCGTGGACCAGGCAGTTTCTCTGTCTCAGAGTCTTAAGATATTCAGCTGAAGTCACAGCTGTGGGTGCTCATGACTTAGCAAAGAACATAGAAAGTGATTGAGCTCTTTTTGTAAATAATTATCTATTTTAAATATGCTAGATTTAAGAAAATGTCTTTATATCTGGGTCATGCCTAGACGAAGTTGATCTAAACATCAGCACTATATTCTACTTATTGGAAGGTCAAGGTATACAGTGTAAACAAATGTCACTGATCTTTGATCTCTGCATATTTAGTGAGGTGAATTTTTTCCTTTGAGATTACAGATGTAACATTTACAGTTTTGAATAGGCAAGTGCCAGAAAAAGGCATTAACAAAATACATATGGAAAATTTTCTAGCTGCCACTTCGTCTTTTTTTTTTTTTTTGAAGAGGTTTTTGCTGTAGGGCGTGTGCGCTCGCCAGATAGAGAGAGACAGAAAGTGAGAAATCACGCCTCAGGGGCAATGGCCACGGTGTAATTCCTTCTCCTCCATTCTCCTCTTGGGATCTTGGGCACACATGCACACGTGCCAGGTGTGAGTTTTAAGCCACTGGGTCCAGGATGTGAACCACGGTCGACTACATGGAGTCCAGCAACATAGCCATTACGCTAACTGCTGGTCGCTAGCTGCCACTTTGATAAAATGGCAAGGTATGAAACTTCAAAATTAATCAAAGCTTTTCTCTCTTTTGAAAAAGTTTCTGGTTTTTGAGTTTTTGTTTTAGTGTTTTGTTGTTGTTGTTCATTTTGCTATCAGGCATTAATGCTCATGAAAGAGACAGAAAGGGAAAGTTAGAAATCATCCCCAGGGGGTATGACCATATTGCAATCCCTTCTCCATTCTCCTTCTGGGATTTTGGGTCACACCCACATGTGCCCCGTGTGATTTTCAAGCTACTGGGTCTGGGGCTTGAACTGTGGTCAGCCTTGTGGGAGTCCAGCACCTTAACTACTATGCCACCTGCTGGCCCCCTAGGAAAAAGATTTTTTTAACTATACTGACATCCTGTGGCCGAACACAAAACAGTTGTTATTAGGATGGTTATCTTATCAAGGTCCTTAAACTACTCGTTTCCTTTCAACACATAATCATTGAGCACCTCAGGGGTATTTTTCCAAAAGATATAGTCAGCTTTCACCTAACTGTACTAGCAGGGTAAAACCTGAGAGTCACCCTTGATGCTCCCTTTTTTTCATTTTCATGTACATGGTAGCCTAGTGGAGCTATCAGATAAGTACTTGAAAGTCACCATCTCAAATTAAGGAACAAAACCTAGAGTATATATAGGGAGAACCTTGATGATTATGCATAATTACCAGCTTGGAAGAAAAAGGCAAGACACTGGAAAACACCATTATTTGCTTTTTTGTTTGTTTTTGGTTTTGCTGTATATGGCATGCATACTTGCTGGAAGTAAATAGAGACAGAGAGAGATGGCCACACTGCAGTTCCTCCTCCTCTTTGGATTTTGGGCACACATGAATATGTGCCTGGCATGTTTTTCAATCTGCCAGGTCCAGGTCTCAAACTGGAGTGTTTGCCATGTGGGATCTAGCCACCTTAGCCACCATGCCACCTGCTGGCCCTTGCAACAATAATTTAAAGCTGAAATTGAGTATGAAGTAAGATCTCATTCATCAATTTTTTTTTCCAGAGGTATTTTTTGCTATAGGGCACATTCACCAGAGAGAGAAAGAGAGATAGAAAGCAAGTTACCCCCTGGGGGATGGCCAAGCCCCAGTCCCTTCCCCTTTCTTTTTTTTTTTAATTAATTAAATTTATTTATTTATTTATTTTGGAGAGGTTTTTGCTATAGGGCACGTGCGCTAGCCAGACAGACAGAGACAGAGAGACAGAAAGCGAGAAATCACCCCCCAGGAGGGATGGTCATGCCACAGTCCCTTCTCCTTCATACTCCTCTTGGGATCTTGGGCACACACGCACACGCGCCCAGCGTGAGTTTTAAGCCACCAGGTCCAGGATGTGAACTGCGGTCAACTACGTGGGAGTCCAGCGAAATAGCCATTATGCTAACTGCTGGTACTCTCCTTTCTCCTCTTGGGATTTTGGGCGTGCATGCACATGTATATCTCGTGTGAGTTTTAAGCTGCCTAGTCTTGGACTTGAACCACGGTCACCTACACAGGAGTCCAGCAATGTTAACTGTTATACCATCTGCTGGTCCCTCACTCATCAGGTATTAATGCATTCCATATTAACTATTTTATGAAGTGCCAGATACCCACAGTTTAAAAGGCATATTATTTTGGGCTACTCCCATGGCCCCATGGTTGGAGAAGCTCAGTCCCATATGGCCAACCATGGGCTGGAGTCCGAGCCCCAGAAGCCTGAAAAACACAGCAGGCAAGTGTTCGTGCGTGCCCAGAACATTGACAGGATGGAGAAAAGGATGAGAATGGATTCCACTGTGATCATGTCCCATTAGGAGACACTTTCTTCCGATCCCCACCCCACACCCTTTCTCTGGTGAATACAAACTTTTTCTGGCAAGAAAAAGGACATGCTATTTTACATAATTGTGGAAGCGGATTTTGTATAGTGCTATTTTTAAAAACTTACCAAATGGCTAAAATTAAAATAATTGTTTATATTTATAACTTCTATGGTGTATGCATTTTAAAATATAAACTTTAGTAGAAATGTGCTTCTAAGGACCTTTTTAGTCTTTTAATTTTAAGCCTTTTGAAAAATTACTTGCATTTTTGAATACATTTAATAAAAGGTGGCACTGTTGGCTAGTCCTTATTTTACTTTTCAAAATCAGGCATATATTAAATTGTATAAATAATGTTGTTGTTCATTTCAAAATTATTAAGAATCAGTCATAACAAGCTTGAGTTTCAACATTATTTAGCACATAGGTTACTCTGGAGTTTAGTAGTATTAAGAATGTAGGTATGGAACCAGCAGTTAGCGTATTAGCTATGTCGCTGGATTCCCATATAGTCGACCACGGTTCACGTCCCGGACCCGGTGGCTTAGAACTCACACCGGGCACGTGTGTGTGCGTGCCCAAGATCCCGAGAGGAGAATGGAGGAGAAGGGATTGCGGCGTGACTATCCTCCCTGGGGGGTGATTTCTCACTTTTTGTCTCTATGCCTCTGTCTGTCTGGCAAGCGCACACGCCCTATAGCAAAAACCTCTCAATAAAATAAAATAAAATAAAAAGAATGTAGGTATAATATTATTAACCTATGTATCTAATTACTTTTTGGAAAAATTTCTAGGGATTTGGGCAGAACTTTTTTTTTTTTTTTAAAGAGGGAGTTTTGCTATAGGGTACGTGCGCTTGCCAAAGAAACAGAGACAGAGAGACAGAAAGTGAGAAATCACCCCCCTTCAGGGGGGATGGCCACTCTGCAATCCCTTCTGCTCCAGTCTCCTCTCAGGATTTTGGGCACAAATGCACACGTGCTTAGCGTGAGTTTTAAGTTGCTCATTTGGAACTTGAACCACAGTCGACTACGTGGGAGTCCAGTGACATAACCATTATGCCATCTGCTGGTCCCTAGAGCTTATTATTATTATTATTTTGTTGTTAAATAATTATTTTATTCATTGCAAATTATTTTATTTTTTTGAAGTTGACCAGACAGAAAGAGAGGAGAGAGAGAGAAAGTGAGGAAGCAAGCTGCCAAGTTCAGGACTTCAACTGCAGTCAGCCACATGGGAGTCCAGCCACCTTAACCACCATGCCACCTGCTGTCTCCCTAGAGTTTATATTTTTTAAAAAATGGTAACTACTTGGTCTAGCCCATGATGTAGTGGTTAAGGCAGCTATATTCCACATAACTAACTGTGCAGTTTGAATCCTGGACTCGGCAGTTTGAAAAACATGCCAAGCACATGCATGCATGCCCAAAATCCTGAGAGGAGTAAACAGTGGAGGAGAAGACTGTGGCGTGACCATCCCCATGTGTGATGCTTTCTTTTTTTTTTTTTTTTATTATTATCATAATCTTCTTTATATTACATTGGATTACATATAACTTTACATTGACTTCCATTGCTTTTTCAAAAGGGAATGCCATGCATGTCAGTCAATACAGAGGCATCGATCTCCCCGCTTTATCATTCAAAGTCTTTTCCATGCATTTCCCAATAATTATTATTATATTCCTGCTTCCCTGCCTTTTGCTCACTCTATTCGAGCCGTAGTGGCCCCTCTGCAATTCCTTGAACCAGTTAGAAGCCAGACATAGCCTTATTTCAGGGCTTCATGTTTTTTGTTCAATCTTAAACACCTTTACCCTGACAGTCATGTGACTATCTTTCAGGTCTTTATTAAAATGTCACTTTCTCAAACAAACTTCCCATAACTAACCAATAAAATAGCTGCTCCTCTCATCACTTCCTAACTCCCTGAACCGGCTTTATTTTTTCCTCCTTTTGACATCAATTATGTGCTTTAATTAAGCATAACTACCTCTTCTAGATTTCAAGCTCTAGGAAGGCAGAATTTTCTGTTTAGTTTACTGAAGAGAAATCAAAGTCAGACTTGCGGTACTGAAATAATAATGAAAAGAAAGAAATGAAGAATGAAGTTTTAGTGATTAATCTGTATCTGTCTGATTCATATGAATAGATGAAGACTAATCCCAAAAAGGAAGCACATCATAAAAAGGAGACTATTCCTAAGAAGGATTTTTTTGTTTGTTTGTTTGTGCAAAAGGGCATATGCATTTGCCAGAGAGAGACAGGGAGACAGAGTGAGATAGGAGAAAGCACCTCCCAAGGGGAAGGGTCACACTACAATCCCTTCTCCTCTCTCTCTCCCTCCTTTTGGGATTTTGAGAACGTGAGCACACACTGCTGGCATGTTTCTCAAGCTACCTTTGTCTGGTATTCGACTGCCTTGTCTCACTCTCCCATTACAATATCCCTGCTATATACAGTTGTCTTCCAGAAGAGTTACTGAAAAAGTGATACATACAAGTAAAGGGAGAGAGGCCACAAGTTCCAACCATCAGCTCATAAAGTTTTTGGTAATAGGGAGCATAAACTCCACTCAGGGTTGGATAAGGAAGGGTCTCCGGCAGATCCACAAGTGTAGGTGAGTCTCCAAGGAATGCAGTTTCAGGAAAGCAGTTCTGGTACACAGGGATAATTATCAGCTGATGCGGCACAGCAGTCATCTTGTAGTTACCAGGAATGGTGTTGTGGGGGTCTGCAGTGTGAGTTGTCCTTGGGTATCTGGCTTCCTTAAAAATGGCAGAGTAGTTCTTGTTTTCCCCTGAGGTAATGCAGGGCTGGTAACTATCATCTTCTTAAGTTGCAAGTTCTTCAACCTTGTTTTCGGCCTCGGGGCCATCCCGGGCCAGAATACTACATCGGATGACCAAAAACCAGTGCAGATCTCAAAGACCAGAGGGGGGGGGTGCCGGCCAGGCCGTTCCAGGCGCGGCTGCGCTGGGGGGGGCGTGAGCCCCCCCACCCCCCATGTGTGATGCTTTCTCACTTTCTCTCTCACTCTATCTCTGTATCCCACCTCTGGCGAGTGCATGTGCCCTCTGGCTATTAAAAAAAAAAACAAAAAACACTCTAAAGGGCATAAAAGTATTGACTAGCTGTTTAAGTGATTTGTGTTTTCTTTGGAGAAAAAAGTGTCTTATATGTTATTAATCTCAAAGTTATACACAGAGTAATTAATACCCGCTAGATTAAATTGGACCACCGTTTTGGAACTATAGAGTGAATCATCAGAGATTTTGAATAGTTGTCATTTTTAGCCACACGACCTAATATTCTAGCCCAGGTCGTAATGGCCTACAGTAGATACGCTCAAGGGACAAGTGAGTGAGATTTAGACCTAGATTTTACAAGATGAAACAGTACATTTCTATTTATCATTAATCTGTGGCCAGACTTTACCTAATTTAGGTTTTCTTTTCATTTTCTTAACTTTCTCACGTAGAGTAACTATTTGGTGTTCATGGCAGAACTCTTCTGGTGGTTTGAAGTCGTGAAGCCGTCATTCGTGCAGCCACGCGTTGTTCGTCCACAGGGAGGTAACCGTCTTCCTAATTTTAAATGTTCCTGTGAACAAGAAAAGACAGAGCCTCCATAAAGTTTTAAAAATTACTTCCATCTTATAATTTGAGATGTTGCATGGAAAACTCTAAATTGATCCATCATGATGTAAAATTCACAATATGGTTCAAATGTAATAGCGTAGAATTGAATATGGAGGCATAACCTTCCTCTTAGAAGTTGGGAAAGGTGTAATTCAAACTTTTGTGCAATTAGATTAAATCATAATGTAACAGTTTTTTAAAAAAGACATTACTGTCTATATCATCAAATAGCTTTTCATCATTTTTTCAGATTATTATTTTTATTATTATTCTCATTTTTTTAAACATTAAATCACTATGTATAATTGTTTAAATGTTTTTGTGCATTTCAAGATTATATATAACTTGGCTTATAGAGTTGAAAGTTTTAAACTAACGTTAGAGATATGGTAAACACATAACTTTGAGCTTTTATCTTTTATTCTAGCTGAGCCTGTGAAAGACACACCGTCAGTGCCCGTCCTGAATGCTGCCAGAAGAAACGTCCTGGCTAGTTCCTGCAGCTCTGACTTCTCCTCCAGGTAGACGCACGAGTCTCCATTGTCACTGCTTTCATTCAGTTTACAGTGGAAATCTAATAAGATTTTCCTACATTAAATAAGATTTTTAAAAGTTCAGTTGGAGTGTGAACTGAGTTAAAATTAGCTTACCCTATTAATGCCTGACTCAACTCACATACAATTGAAATTTATACTGAAATAAATGTTTTACAGATAGGCTTTTTATGAGCCACATTAAAAAGTAGAATGTATTTTAAGGTCCAAATAACCAACCTAAACCAAATTTTGCTACATAACATGTATGTAATTAAGAACAATGTAATAGTATAATTGGGAATTATCTATAGGTAACTCTTGGGTCTTATGGGGAAATACTTAAATTCTATTTGGACTTGTTCATTTCTTTATTTTTTTGAGAGATTTCTGCTATAGGACGCGTGTGCTCACCAGACAGACAGAGAGAGACAGAGAGATAGAAAGCAAGAAATCACCCCCCAGAGGGGATGGCCACGCCGCAATCCCTTCTCCTCCATTCTCCTCTCGGGATCTTGGACACGCATGCAAACGTGCTCGGCGTGAGTTTAAGCCACTGGGTTTGGGATTTGAACCCAGGTTGACTGCATGGGAGTCCAGCAACATAGCCATTAGGCTAACTGCTGGTCCCAATTTTTTTTATAATTTTTTAAAAAACCTTAGAAGCAGTTTTTTTTTATATAGTTTTGTTTTCTGGTTACTATAGGTATTAAGATTTTATAGTAGAATATTTATTATAATTTTGAAGCTTTACTAATGGTTTAATTCTTAATATCAGGCACTGAAAGCAAGATAAAAATATCCCAGCATTTAATATCAGGCTCATTCTGACTTCTGACCCAAGTATGTGATAGGCACATTGGTTTGTTTAAAATGTTTTCTTTTTTTTTTTACCAGATCTTGTAATGAAAACAGCTTTTCATATATACTATTAGAACCTAAAATTTTGTTGACTTTGGATTCCCTAATCTGATTTTTTTCTTTAGCTTGAAATTGTGTTTTGTGAGTTTTTAAGGAAATTAAAGCAGATTCATTGAAATACAAGAACTGGCAGCTTGCTTTCTCGGTTTCACTTTCTCTTGTCTGTATGGTCAGATTAAAAAATAGTACTAACAAATGGAATTAAATAAGTAAATAGTTCTTTTTAAAACATAAAGTACATTTTTAAAATAATGGGTGAAAAATGAAAAGTACCGGGACCAGCAGTTGGCGGAATGGCTGTATTGCTGGACTCCCATGTAGTCGACCGCAGTTCGAGTCCCGGACCCGGTGGCTTAAACTCATGTGGGACACATGTGCATGCGTGCCCAAGATCCCGAGAGAAAAGTGAAGGAGAAGGGACTGTGGCGTGGGCATCCCCCCAGGGGGTGATTTCTCACTTTCTGTCTCTGTCTCTCTCTTTCTGGTGAGCGCATACACCTTATAGCAAAAACAAAACAAAACAAAACAAAACAAAAAACTCCTCCCCTCCCCAAAAAAATTAAAAGTACTAGCTGTATAAATTCTTGACTAAATTTAACAAACATGAACGTGTACTGAAGCCATCACCTACGCCCATGTAAGAAGTTTCTGGAGTACTTGCTGCTGAACGTGAAACCCAAGCCTTCACCAAACTCTTACACTCTCATGGCCTCTGTAGGCTTCTTACCAGTGAGAGCTGTCTACTGTCTGACGAGCTTTTCTGACAAAATAAGAAAGCATTTTCTTCCCTTGCCCTCTGATTTACTATGATGAGTTTTCTTATTACTTCTATTGAGTTTTCCAGTCCATAGCTATCCCTGAGATTTACCACAAAGAAGTTAGCTTAAAGTATTGCTGACCTGCAAGCTCCTATATATTTTTTCTCATGGAAAACTTTTTTCATACATTATTTCCTCACAGTTTGTCTTAGGTTGTTTACATTTCCTGCCTTGAAAATTTAGAAAACACACAGTATTCTAGGTCACCAGTCTCTCACTATAAACTCTTTAAATTCCATTTTGAAAGTGGAAAGTGAAGCTTTCTTCTTGAAGAGTAAATTAGTCCATAATCATTTTTTCAAGATTTTTGCTATAGGGTATGTGCACCTCCCTAAAGAGACAGAGACAGAGAGATAGAAGGTAAGAAATCACCCCCCAGGGGGGATGGTTACGCTGCAGTCCTTTCTCCTCCATTCTTCTCTCAGGATTTTGGGCATGCATACACATCTTCCTGGCCTGAGTTTTAAGCCCCCGGGTCCAGGACTCAAACCATGGCCAACTACTTGGGAATCCAGTGACATAACCATTATGCCATCTGCTGGTCCCAGCCCACGTGAGTTTTAAGTTGCCAGGTCCAGGACTTGAACTGTGGTTGACTATGTGGGAGTTCAGCAATGTAACCATTATGTCATCCTGGTCCCCATAATTGTTACTCCTAGAACCTTAATGGACAATTTTTCACATTTCTTTTTAATATTTTTTAAAGAATTATTTTATTGAACTTTATTTATTTATTTATTTTAATTTGACCAGAGAAAGGGGAAGGGGGGCAAGGAGAGAGGGAGGTAGGAAGGGAAAGTGAGAAAGCAAGCCACCAAACCACAGTCAGCCATGTGCGATCAATGCTCTTATCTACTATGCCACCTGCCGGTCCCAATTTTCCACATTTCTGATGCTGAAAAAAAGTCTTAATTTTTGTTCCCTAGGAAGCTCATGTCTTTTCTGTCTCTCAGACATCTGAGAAGCTACTTTTTTCTGATTTTTTTTTTAGATATTTTTTATAATCAGATCAATTTTTTTTTTTTTTTTGAGTCTCTCAATTCTGGGCTCTTAGTCATGCACTCATTTGTTTCTCATTTGTTTAAGTCTCTGTTTGGTACATTGGAGTCCATCAGCACTGTAGAACTTTGAAGGCAGGATTCAAGAATGTCTGTTCTTCCTGGTAACAATGTATTGACAGTCACATGTGTAAATGGGATTGCACCTAAATAATGATCTGATGAGAAAGAAAAAAAATGAAGGAAGAAGACAGGCAGAGTAAAAGACATTGCCAGCAGTTACTCTACACACTTGGCTTTCAGCTTTTTCATTTTGCCAGAACAAAATTCTTGATCCCAATGGGGAAGTGAGACCATTAATAGGGATTTACAACACTTAGTCATTATTTGGGGGGGTGGAGAATGAACATGTTTTAATAATTAACTTGCTTATATTCAGGATTACACTCTCATAGGTCTAAGAGAGAATAGAAACTGTGGATTGAGGGGCCGGCAGGTGGCGTGGGTTAAGGGTGCTGGACTTCCACGTGGCCAACCATGACTCAAATCCTGGACCTGGCGACTTGCTTTCTCACTCTCTCTCTCTCTCTCACTCTCGCTCTCATTCTGTCCCTCTCTGCTCAAATTGAAATAAAGTTGAATAAAAATAATTCTTAAAAAAAAAAAAAAACTGTGGAATTGATTATAGAGGGAGGAAAAATAGAAACAAATACACCAGGGCGGCCATGTGAGTATTCTCTGAGTCCTAACGAATGATTACAGGTGAAACTGCCAGCAGGCGTGATGTGCAGTTTAGGGGGAAAGGTTCATAGAAGTAGATAAGCATTTGCTTTGGACAGAGCAGTTCTTCAGATACTATTTCTTTTAGAAAAGCTCATTAATTAGGCTTGCACTAAATAGTAAGAATACAACATTGATATTTACCTTTAAATTCTTCGGTTGATTTGTCTATTTTCTGTTTATATTAGCTGAAAAATAATATAATTTGAGAGAGTAACAGAAGTCACTACATCTTGCTCCCAGATTTATTCTGCACCAGTTGGGGGTGAGGATGCTTAACTACTTCTCCTGATTGCAGGGAGTGACATGGAAGATTTAACAGCTTAAAAAGAGAAAAACTGAGAGAGGATAGCTTGATTCTTGCCAAATGCCATTGAACTTTGAGAAGTAGACTAATCCCCTGTATTAATTGGGGTAGGATGGAATTATGTAAGAAGAAATAGCAATACAGCTTCATGTCTTTACAGGCTTTGAAGTTTCAAGGCATCACTCACTGCATTTATCTTAAAGTAACTATTAGAAGTATATAGGAAGACTGACAAGGTCTTTTACACAGGTTAATTATACCTTTAATTTCTAGAGATTTAAATATGACCAAAATATTTCAAATTATGAATTTCATTCAACTTATTTCTCAGTTTGTTTTTTAGAGAGAGGTTTCTGTTTTAGGGCTTGTGCACTTGCCAGAGAGACAGAAAGCGAGAAATCACCCCCCAGGGGAGATGGCCACACCGTAGTCTCTTCTTCATTGACCTCTTGGGATTTGGGGCATGCATGCACACACGCCCGGCCTAAGCCTTTTTTTTTTTTTTTTTTTTGAGAGGTCCCAAACCTTTTTTTTTTTTTTTTTTTGAGAGGTTTTTGCTATAGGGCACGTGCGCTCGCCAGGAAGACAGAGCGAGATAGAGAGACGGAAAGCGAGAAATCACTCCCCCAGGGAGAATGGCCACATTGCAATCCCTTCTCCTCCATTCTCTTCTCGGGATCTTGGGCACGTACGCACATGCGCCCGGCATGAGTTTAAGCCACCAGGTCTGGGACTTGAACTGCAGTCGACTACATGGGAGTCCAGCAAAATAGCCATTACGCTAACTGCTGGTCCCCTGGCCTAAGTTTTAAGCCACTGGATCCAGGACTTGAACCATGGTCAACTACGTGGGAAACTAGCGACATAACCACTACGCCATCTGCTGGTACGTTTCTCAGTTTTTCTATTTGTAAAATGAAAATAATTGAAGCCGGCAGGTGGCTCGGTGGTTAAGGGAGCTGGACTCTGACATGGCCAACCTTGATTTGAGTCCTGTACCTGGTGGCTTGCTTTCTCATCCCTACCCCCGTCTGATGGCTTGTTCTCTCTCATCCTTCCCCATCTGGTCAAATTAAAATAAATAAATAAATACAGTTTAAATAAAATAATTCTTAAAAAAAAAAAAGACAAAACAAAAAAAAGGAAATCATTTGTCATATCTTATTTCAGAAGACATTGAGATATATATGAACGTACTTACTGTTGTTTGACTAAAAGACACAAAATACATATAGATACATGTTATAATCACAGCCATGCTTTGAACAACGTCTTAAGTGTCTTCATTGTTTAAATTTAGAATGTAGAATCATAGCAGTCATCATTGTTTCTAACTTCAGCCAGTGCATATGAAATGTATACTAAGGAGTTAAAAGGTAACATTTTAAATTTATTGTACTTTGCAGTGGGGAAGGAGCTCCATTTACCCAGTCTTATCATCGCTTGCCTTCTAGACATTCACGCCCCCAAGCCCATTCTTCAGCCTCAGGTAATACATTTGAAAAAGCCTAGGAAAATGCTGTTTTAAGTAGGCTACCTGGGAAATTAATGAGAATAAGTACAAATAAACAAAAATTCAGTCTTTTTTATTTACCCCTACAAAGTGGGCTCTACATATATACATACTGTTTCTGTGTTTACTTTTCTTAATAATCTCTCATTTTCCTTGTGAACTTACTACTTTTTAGTGCTATTAATAAGTCCTCAAATAGGCAGAATCTGTTAAATTGTCTTTAAGTTAAAATTTGAACATGATTTCATTGTCTTTTTTCTTTTTGCATTTGAAGGAGGAATTAGAAGATCTTCATCTATGTCTTACGTTGATGGTTTCATAGGGACATGGCCCAAAGAGAAAAGGTAAACAAAGAGATTTATTTAGTATATTCACATTTTCTAGAAATTTTTGTTTTTATCTCTCTGTGACTCTCTTTTGTTGTTAGCCAGGTTGTTAAATCTAGACTTTTTTTTTTTGAGATTTTTGCTATAAGGCATGTGTGCTTGCCATAGAGAGACAGAGAGACAGAAGGTGAGACATCACCCCTCAGACTAAGGCCATGCAGCAATCCCTCCTCCTCCATTCTCCTCTTGGGATTTTGGACATGCATGCACACATTCCTGACATGAGTTTTAAGCCGCCGAGTCCAGGACTCAAACCATAGTTGATGACGTGGGAGTCCAGCAATGTAGCCATTTCGCAATCTGCTGGTCCCTAAGTCTAGACTTTTCATTAGTGCCTGAATTCGAAAAGGGCTACATAGGCGATGATAGGTGAAAGGGGCTCCATTTAGACAGTAGTTAGATAGCCTGACTCTTACTTTGAAGACAATATGATTATGAGAAACGGGGAATGAAAGTAGATATAATTTCAAATAATTATTGTTGTTCAATGATATTTTAAAAACTGTTTCTGGAATTAAGGATTTTTTTCTTTAATTTTTTTTTAGATCGTCAGTACATGGTGTTTCATTTGATATTTCTTTTGATAAAGAAGATGGTGTACAGAGATCCACTCCAAACCGAGGAATCATTCGTTCTATTAGTAATGAAGGACTTGCACTGAACAACAATCGTGTATCTAAACACATTAGGAAAAATTTATCCTTTAAGCCAGTAAATGGAGAAGAGGAAGCAGAAAGCATTGAAGAAGAACTTAATATAGACTCTCACAGTGACCTCAAATCTTATGCGCCCCTTAATACAAATGAGCTAAATTCTAATGAGAATATTCATTACCAGCTTCCAAATGGAGCTTTACAAAACAGAGTACTTCTCGATGAGTTTGGCAATCAGATCGAGACACCAAGCATTGAAGAGGCATTACAAATAATTCATGATACTGAAAAATCTCCCCGTACACCTCAGCCAGACCAAATTGCTAATGGCTTCTTTCTTCATAGCCAGGACATGAGTATCTTAAATTCGAATATCAAACTGAGTCAGTCCAGCCCTGATAACATAACTGACACAAAAGGTGCCTTGAGTCCCGTAACTGACAATACCGAAGTAGACACTGGAATCCATGTTCCTTCAGAAGATATTCCTGAAACCATGGATGAAGATTCTTCTTTGCGAGATTATACTGTAAGCTTAGACTCTGACATGGATGATGCATCTAAATTCCTTCAGGACTACGATATACGAACCGGCAACCCCAGAGAGTCTCTGAGTCCGTGTCCAAGCACTGTAAGTACCAAATCTCAACCAGGCAGCAGTGCTTCTTCTAGTTCTGGAGTTAAAATGACCAGCTTTGCTGAGCAGAAGTTCAAGAAACTGAACCATACTGATGGAAAAAGTAGTGGAAGTAGCTCTCAAAAAACTACACCTGAGGGCTCCGAACTTAATATTCCTCATGTAGTTGCCTGGGCACAAATTCCAGAAGAAACAGGCCTGCCACAAGGGCGGGACACCACTCAGCTGTTGGCTTCTGAAATGGTGCACCTTAGGATGAAACTAGAAGAGAAAAGACGTGCTATAGAAGCTCAGAAGAAGAAGATGGAAGCTGCCTTCACTAAACAGAGGCAGAAAATGGGAAGGACGGCGTTCCTTACAGTAGTGAAAAAGAAAGGGGACGGGATTTCCCCTCTTCGAGAGGAAGCAGCTGGTGCAGAGGATGAGAAGATCTATACTGACCGAGCAAAAGAAAGGGAGTCGCAGAAACCTGAGGGGCAAAGGAGCAAGTCTCTGGCAGATATCAAAGAAAGCATGGAGAACCCTCCAGCCAAATGGCTAAAGTCTCCAACCACCCCTGTGGATCCTGAGAAGCAGTGGAACCTGGCCAGCCCCTCAGAAGAAACCTTGAATGAAGGAGAGATTTTGGAATACACAAAATCCATTGAGAAGTTAAACTCATCTCTGCATTTTCTACAGCAAGAAATGAGCGCCTGTCACTGCAGCAGTAGATTCTGATGCAGATGAGAGAGCAGCAGTCCTGGGTGATTTCCCCTCCGCAGCCCTCCCCCCAGAAACAAATCCGAGATTTTAAATCCTCTCGGCAGGCAGGCCTGTCCTCCGCCATGGCACCGTTCTCGTCAGACTCCCCTCGTCCTACTCATCCATCTCCACAGTCTTCTAACAGGAAAAGCACATCTTTTTCTGTGAAAAATCAGAGGACTCCTAGGCCAAATGAATTAAAAATAACACCTTTGAATCGAACCTTAACACCCCCTCGGTCTGTGGACAGCCTGCCTCGGTTAAGGAGGTTTTCGCCAAGTCAAGTTCCTATTCAGACTAGGTCATTTGTGTGTTTTGGGGATGATGGAGAACCTCAGTTAAAGGAGTCCAAACCTAAAGAAGAAGTTAAAAAGGAGGAATTAGAATCCAAAGGAACTTTGGAACAGCGTGGACAAAATCTAGAAGAAAACATTAAACCTTTTGAGTCAACAGTTTCTGAAGTCCTGTCCCACCCTGTCACAGAGACTGTATGTCTGACACCAAACGAGGACCAGTTGAATCAACCCACAGAGCCGCCTCCTAAACCCATTTTCCCACCCGCTGCTCCTAAAAATGTTAATCTGATTGAAGTTTCCCTCTCAGATTTGAAACCCCCTGAAAAGACCGATGTAGCTGTTGAGAAATCTGAGGGAGAAAGTGATAAAGAACAATTTGATGATGACCAGAAAGTATGCTGTGGATTCTTTTTTAAGGTATTGTTAATCTGCGTAGTTTGAGGCATCTTCGTTCCATACATACGTTTTGTTTTATTGTGTGTCATTTTGTCTGTAGACATGCTTGCTTCTTTTAGTAGCAGTCCCTAATCCTGAAAATGCACTTTGTCCCACCCTTTGCCCCCTTAAATGTAGTAACATTCAAGCACACTGATTTCTAGAATAGTCTTTCAGTGTGAATTCCAAGCTGAAATAAATCCTTTTATAACAGTACATGTTGACATGTTGCTCACTGTCTCTGCTTCTCTACCTCCACTTCTTACTTTCACAGAAGGCCTTTTTTTTTAAACCGTGAATCAAATTTCTCTACAAGGGGTTTTATTGATTACTTTATTCCCTCATGAAAAGACCAACTGTAATCAGTTGAGGTAAACATTCACCTCTAGATTTTGTAATAAAACAAAAGATAAAGCTTAGAGCTGGATCATGTGACCCATTCTTTTTATCTCCTCCCAGTTCAGAATGCTCGCATCTCTTAATAGCCAGCGTTCTCTTAGATCTGCAGTCGGGCTCAGCACGTTCACCTCAGCATGATCTGTGTAGTTTGTGCCTTTTTCTGGAAAATAGGCTTAGTCTGTCCACCATAGCCACTCTGCTCCCCAGCATAATGCTGCATTCCCTGAGCATACAGAGACTCCTTGCCCTTTCTGTACAATGTCACTTTATGAGGTTGGTGCTTGCCACACTTCTTACAGAAAGTCTGGCGGGTTTTAGAGACATCCACTGTGTTTACAGGCGTGCTATCTGCGCAGAAAAAATGCTTTTAAAATGTAAACTTTGGGGACCAGCATATGTTTAATAGTTATGTCATTGGACTCCCTCCCCCGCAACATAGTTGACTATGGTTTGAGTTCTGGACCTGGCAGCTTAAAACTCAAGCTGGGCACGTCTGCATGCACACCCAAAATACCGAGAGGAGAATGGAAGAAAAGGGATTGCGGCATGGCCATCCCCCCTGGGGGGTGATTTCTCACTTTTTATCTCTGTCTCTCTTTGTCCGTCAAGCATGCGCATCCTATGGCAAAAATATCAAAAAAAAAAAAAAAGTTGGGAACCAGCAGTTAGCGTAATGGCTATGTCGCTGGACTCCCACGTAGTCGACCGTGGTTCACGTCCCGGTGGTTTAAAACTCACGCCGGGCGCGTGTGCGTGCGTGCCCAAGATCCTGAGAGGAGAATGGAGAAGGGATTGCGGCGTGACCATCCCCACTCGGGGGTGATTTCTCGCTTTCTGTCTCTATGTTTCTCTCTGGCTGGCGAGCGCACACACCCTATAGTGAAAAAAAAACCTCTCCAAAAAAAAAAGAAAAGTTAAGCTGTTGAAATCTTTTCAAAGAGATGGTTCCATTGCTTATCTGTTAAAAACTTACAATTTGTCATTGTATGTAGGTATTTATGTATAAATACATATCCGATTTTTTTAAATCTTTAACTTCTTTCCTTCTTTTTAAAAATCTGACTAGATAGTTTATTCAAGAAGAAACATTTAATAAAGCATACTAGTTGTGACATTTCATTGAAATATTTGCTTCCAGAGCATTAAGTAAAGGTCGTGAGCATGACCCTTAATCTCAGGACTGGTATTGGTTACAGCATGTTCCGAACAACTGTGGCTAACTACACCTCTTGGTGGGGACCTTGGAATTTATCATAGCTATTAGCAAAACTAGAAAAGCCTGATAATAATTTTAAAATTTCCTCCTAGATTATTACTCATCTTTTTCTATATTTTCCATATTACCATAGGGAAGAATATTTTTTGAATGAACGTTATGTGTGTGTTTTTTATATTTTCTTTTTTTAAATTAAAAGAGTAAAGTAGATCAGTTCGGAGTCTGTGTAACTCCATAAGTTGGGGTACAGATACAAAATATATAACACCCAATAGCAATAATTTATTATTTAAATTTCAAGTTGAAGTATACAGCGGTAGTGGAATAAGAACCCAAGAATATCAACATAATTACAATTGCTCGTTGTTCTTTGGATCATCTGATGTTGAAAATTTGCAGCTTATTTAAAGTTGATCTCAGGTGATTGCCTTGTAGACCCTTCTCAGTGTTTGCACATTTGGATGTGAATCATGTTTTGTCTCCTAATCATGTGAAACTACCGTTTGTTAACAAAATGCTGATGTAGACACTAATAGATGTCCAGGTTTACTGTCTAATTTTAAAGATCTTTGCTGCCTCTGTTCCTTGCAGAGAAAGGAAAACCAGAGGGGGAGAAAAGTTAGTATAAAACAGGCAGTACGTTTGTACCTGCATTTCCATTTCACGCTGTCCGTTACGTTCTTTCTGTATCTCCAACCCAGTACTCGTCCTTAGATTGTGGTCACAGCTTCTCAACCAGCCGGGCTCCCCTCCGCTCTGTGATCACATTCCACTCTTCATGCTGCTTCTAGAGGTGACTCTTCCAAAAGCATAGTTCCAGTAGAGTCTTTAAGAAAGTAAAAAAATCCTAAGAGTTGCTTATTAAAGTGAGTTCAGACACCCTATCATAACATTCAGGGATATTCACAGACTAACATAAGCCTATTGGTCCAACCCCTTCCTTATAACTTCTTTTGGGACTTCGGAAAAGTCATGACGTATGTTTCTATGCACACATGCTTCATGACTTTTTTGATGACCCAATATTTTGGATCATTTTTTAATAATGATTTTAAGCTTCATCTAAAGCCTTTCATAATTCCTTCACTAGAGGCTAATTAGGTCACCTTTGCGTGTCTGTTGTAGCCTAAACATACGTGTTCTATCATCCCTGTGACCCAAAGTATTCAACTATTCCATTATGATTTGTTTTGTCTTTTAGATTATGAACTCCTAGAGGTACTGCCTCTTTTTATCGATAAATTGCAAAGTATATGTAGTTTGTTTAATGAATGTTTGTCTGTATCTGACAAACCAAAAATATATGCCTCATTTATTCATATGAATAAGATTTTTAGAATAGAATGTTTCTTTGCATGGTATCTTCTGACTTTATTCATAGTTAAATCTCTCCCTGGGCTCTGTACAAAGCATCTCTTACTCATGTGATTTTTAAGCTCCTCCACCTAACATACCTTATTATTTTCACAGTATCTGTAATGTCTGGCATTATGTTGTGAATATATTAGACACCAAGGAAATGTTTATTGCATTAAGCATTGCCAAAGACAATTGATGGTCACTATGACTATGACTCTTAGTAGCTCAAGAACTCCCTCTGAGAACGGGGCTATCCCCAGGATTCAGGTAGAAACTGGGCGGGCTCATGAGGCCTACAGGTCATGCACTAGCTCTCAGACTGAACAACACTTCAGGAGAGTATAATTATGCTGTCTTTCCTTCATAGAAAAGCCTTCAGTGTAGCTCAGAACCCATCAAGCAAACTGTCAGTACCTCAACTTAGAAGCAGTCAGGCAGCGGCTTCATTTATGCGATATAACATTGGTGCCTAATTTGGGGATGCTTTTTTCTTTTTTTTAGTGTATATTTCAAATACAATATAAATGTAATTTTAAAAATTAGGGGATCTCCCCATTGTAAGTTATTTATTAGAGTATAAATAAAACCAAGCTGTTTTTATTTTTATGGTGTTTTTTCCAAAGTTCTTAGAGTAGTGTTTTTTTTAAGATAAGATCTCCTAGTGCAGTTATTGCAGTCCTGCTGCTTCAGCCTCCCAGCTGCGCCACCAGACTTCACTCTTTTTTATTTTTAAGAGTTTTTTTTTTTTTCTTTTTTTTTCCCTATAAGGTGTGAATGCTTACTGGAGGGGCAGAGACAGAGAGACAGAAAGTGAGAAATCACCCCCCAGGGAGGATGACCATGCTGCAATCCCCTCTCCTCCTTTCTCGTCTCAGGATTTTGGGCATGCACACACAGTTTTAAGCCGTAGGGTCTGGGACTCAAAACGTGGTCGACTACGTAGGAGTCCAGCGATGTAACCATTATGCCGTCAGCTGGTCCTTTTTTTTTAAAGACAGGATCTTCTTATATTACCCAGATCAGCCCTAGGTTTGTGATCCTCCTGCCTCAGCTCCTGAAACTTGCAAGATGTTTGTTTGTTTTTAAGAATTATTTTAACGTTATTTAATTATTTATTTATTTATTTTCATTTGACCAGAGAGGGCCAGAGTAGGGAGGAAGCAAGAAAACAAGCCGCCAGGTTCAAGACTCAAATCACAGTCAGCCATGTAGGAGTCCAGTACTCTTAACCACCACACCACCTGCCAGCCCCACTTGCTAAGTTTTAAAAGAGTGTATTAAAAAATGTAAATGTCCTTTGTTACTTGATAGAACTATTACCACTTTAATGAACTCTTCCGTCATACTTTCTGGAACATGTCTGTTTCTGATGTACTTGTAGTGGGTAGATCAGATGTTCAGTTACAAGAGTAACCACCACATGTAACCACAACAATCAAAAATGAAAATATCGGTACCTACATTTTCTTTTTTTACTGAAATTTGTTTTTAGGATGATCAAAAAGCAGAAAATGATATGGCGATGAAACGAGCAGCTTTGTTGGAGAAGCGATTAAGAAGAGAGAAAGAAACTCAGCTTCGGAAGCAGCAGTTGGAAGCAGAGATGGAGCATAAGAAAGAGGAAACAAGGTAAGGGCAATTGCTGTGCCAGTCCGACCTCGGCAGGGTGGTGCCGGGCATGCGTAGCGACTCTCAGTAAGTACGCACACAAGGCGGCAGTTGCTCGTTAGCTGCTATTAACAGATTTTATGTTTTAGAGATGTTTGCAATGTAAATAGACAACTGGCTTAGTGCTGGATTTTAGTGCTTTTTAGAAGTCAGTTCATTTCTCCAAAGTATTCTCAGATTTTTGGTATTTTTTTAATTGTTCAGGTAGTGTACATGTTCACCAGGGAGAGAGAGAAAGAGGAAGAAGGAGAAAGTACCTCCCTAATAGGGTGTGATCAGTTCTCAATCCTGTCTCCGTTTCTTCATCCTGTCGGGATTTGGGGCAGGCACACACGTGACGTGGCTGTGGGCCAGCTCTGACTTCATATTTTTATCCTAAGTGTGAGGTGTATCAAAGTTAGGATTTTCAGAAACATTACTTAAAATGTTTCAAAACCATTCATTTAAAATAGCTATATGGACATATTCATACACATGTGTATATACATTTATATGGCCTAAATTATTTAAAAGCATTTTAATAAACCATTTTTCGTCCATGGTGCCAAAATATGTTAATTCTTCCATCTTACGTCAAATACGTAACTCCTCTTCAGGGTCAGTTGTCTTTGGTATACAGAATACAAAATTTAACCATTTGATTTCTTAGGCGTAAAACTGAGGAAGAACGTCAGAAGAAAGAAGATGAGAGAGCACGCAGAGAATTTATTAGGCAAGAATATATGAGGCGGAAACAGTTGAAACTAATGGAAGACATGGATACAGTCATTAAACCCCGTCCTCAAGTAGTAAAACAAAAAAAACAGAGGCCGAAATCTATTCACAGAGATCATATTGAATCCCCCAAAACACCAATAAAAGGTCCTCCAGGTAACAGCACAGCTTCTTATGAGGAGTCTGTTCATAAAACACCAGCTTGGTTTGTCATACTAACGTGGTGGTTCTACCATGTGTTAAATTGGATACACTATTTGAGATTATGCATGTTCCTTACTTGGAAAACCAAAATGAACAAATGGAGCGTTCAGTAAATTGTATATATTATGTGTGCATGCATATATTCCGCAGGACGGTGTGAATGCTTTCAGCAGGACGGTGTGAATGCTTGACATCCAGCTCAAGTCCCGACCTGTTAGGGAACTCTGTCCTCAGCTATAATCGCCTTGAATTATTAACTGCCTTTTTCACACTTCTAAATTTAAGGAGAAATGGTACGTGCATGAAATGTACAAGAAACATGTTGGTATAACAAAGAGCATAAGATCAAGAGTTCATAAACTTCTCTTTTAAGATAGAAATAGTCAAAAATCCAAATCTTTGATTTCTGGAGTGAAGAGAACATATCTTTTTTTAAAATTCAACATACATACTTCTAATTTTTTTAATCTTCCATTTTATTAAAACTAAATGCCATGTAATAGTCTAGTGAATTTCCATACTTATTCTAAACCTGAAGAAAAAATAGTGTAATATTGACTATTTTAAAAGAATTATCTTTTCTAATCAGTGAAACTTTTTGATACAGTTATTGGCTAAAATGAGTAAATTAATTTTCTACCTAGGAATAAGATATTTATAAATATATTTTATTATTTTATTATCTTTTTTCTTTAGGATCATGGTATCATGTCTCTTGTTAGCACTCTCCTTCAGGAAGCAGCAAGTTAGTTTTACCATTGTTTTCTAAGTAATTTTCCTGATAATTTAAAATAATTTGTGTAGAGACCAGCAGATGGCATAATGATTACATCGCTGGACTCCCATGTAGCCGACCACAGTTCAAGTCCCAGTCCTAGCAGCTTAAAACTCACATTGGTGTGTGTGCATGCATGCCCAAAATCCTGGGATGAGAATGGAGAAGGGATTGTGGTGTGGCCATCCCCCCTGGGGGGGTGATTTCTCACTTTCTGTCTGTCTCTGTCTCTCCGAGTGCACGCACCCTATAGCAAAAATCTCTCTTAACAAAAAAAGAAAAAAGAACTGTATATATGCATGCAAGCATATTATTTGTTTAGCTTAAGAGCAGCAAAAAGGAAAAGAAGCTACAGAAGCTCAATTTTCATGTGCTGGTGTTATCTAATGAACAGACTCTTTGCTGGTTGCTCCTTTTAAATTTCTAATTTTGTTTTTATTCAGGATCACGAATTTATCGTGTTTTTTCAGTCTCTAGCCTTTCTTTGGCATCGCTGAACACGGGTGACAATGAGAGCATACATTCAGGCAAGAGGACGCCAAGGTAAATCCGTAATGTATGAATATTTTTATAGAAAAGAACAGAGTACCTGCCATTATCAATTCTGAAAGCTCCTGGTGTTTTTATTTGGTATTTTGTAGTAACTGAATCATAATTGTAAATTTGTATAAGTTTTGTTGGCCTAGAACATTTGAGTTTCTGTTAAAAAAAGGTCTATGCATCTTTCAGTGTTTTTTTATCTTAGCATTGGGAATTATTTACATTGATAAGATTCTTTTTATAAGCTACAAAACATTAACACTAATTGTCTATCAGTAATGAGAATATGCTTCTCATTAAATTACAGCCTATAAAAATAGTGTATAATTTATATAGTGCCAATCTCTTGAGTTTATTTCCCATGAAATATAGGGAGTTTTTCCACAAAAGAATGATTCCAAAGTAGGTTTCTTGTGGCTAAGAAAGATCTCCATTATACTCCTCCTCTAGGATGTAGAGTAGAAGCCAAGGCAACATTTCATTACCTTGTAATACCCATGGCAAGAAAGAATCGTTTTTTGTTTTGAAGTTTACTTAATTTCTTTCATGAGGAAATGAGAAAGAAACAAGCACCCCATCAGGGTTTCGTCACACTGTGGTCCCCCGAGCACCATCAGCGCGTGCACCTGGGCTGCTCAGGTCGACCTGGACTCCCCGTGCAGTCCTCCACATAGCTTTCAGCATTGCAGTGGAGCCTGCTGTCTGTGCCACCGTGGCTGTGCCGGGAAAGACTGTTTCACAGCCATCAGCTGAGTTCTAATCTTTGCATTACCCTGCTGTTGTGTTAATTGCCAATTTTCATAGGGAAAATGCATTCATTCTTCCAACACACTTATAATGACCCACTGTGTCCTAGAAACTCAGATGTTTAGTTGTGAATAAGACAAAGTTATCACTGTCTTACTTATTTTTAAGTCTTTAGGTTGATTTTTGTTAGTAGTCTCACATATACCTCTGGCTCTCCAGCATCCTTTCTCTGATTAAGATCCAAAAAATCATTTTATATACTATGTAGGTCAGAGTCTGTGGAAGGCTTCTTATCTCCAAGTCGTTGTGGCAGTCGAAATGGAGAAAAAGACTGGGAAAATGCATCAACAACTTCTTCAGTGGCTTCTGGAACAGAATACACAGGTTAGTGCCTGTACAGTTTACAGGAAACATTTAACACAGTAACGAGAGGTAGGCCAGACTAAAGAACATTAATAGGTTTCACTTTTTAGTCTTAACATGGGAGTCTGATATAAAATAATAAACTTGGACAGTCACTTTAGGTACTTCAGGCTCAGTGATACAGCTCCACCAGGAAAGGAAGTGACTTGTCCCAGAGGAATTGAAGTTGGTTTCTAAACAAAGGTAGACATGCCCCTTATTCCTCATCCCTTTACCTCTTAGAGTAGAGGCCATTCCTGTGCCAGTTTGAGTTTGAAAAAGTTTGAGTTTTATCAGCAATTTATAGGTCCTCAGTACGGAGAAAAGGCTAGAATCCATACAAAGTCCTTTCCCTAACATTAGAATTTCAAGTATCAGGACCAGCAGGGGCTGTAATAGTTAAGTCACTGGACTTCCATGTAGTTGACTGTGGTTTAAGTCTCCTCTCAGTGGGTTAAACCTCGTGCCGGGTGCGTGTGCGTGCGTGCTTAAGATCCTGAGAGGAGAATGGAAGAGAAGGGATTGCGGCGCGGCCATCCCCCCGGGGAATGCTTTCTCGCTTTTTGTCTGTCTCTCTCTGTGTCTGCAGTGAGCGCATGTGCCCTATAGCAAAAATATCTCTCAAAAACATTTTATAAAAAAAAGAATTTCAAGTATCTAGAATAGTACATTTTTAATAAATCTTAAGAATCTTTAAAAGATAAGCATGCATGTGATCTAGGACTGTATCCAGTCTCACATATTTCTCCCAGGTCTTTTTCTAGCCTCTTTTTGGGTAGGCATGATTGAAATAAAAGGAAATAAAGGAATGGAAGAAAAAAGGAGAGTAGCACATTGAGAGGTATAATAGAAAGGCATTGGAGAAGACTGTGTAAGGGAAGAGCAGAAGGAGAAGGAGGTTGCCCTAATCCACCTATGATCTAGTGGAAAGGAAAGCCTGAGATTCTTCCTTTCTCCATGGCTTTTATGTAGCCAGTCTCACAACTGTTAAGTCCAGGGTTGAGCAGTATTCATATTATTCCTTCTGTGTCTCTGTCAGTTAATTTGAACAGTCTGAACAGAATGAAGCCTTTTCTAGTCTTTTTAAAAGTTTAAATTATTCATAGACCCATTCTATTAATATCTTTTGGGGGGGATTTTGTTTTGTTTGCTGTAAAGTGTGTGTGCTTGTCACAGACAGAGAGAGAAAAATGAGAAATCATCCCAGGGGAGGATAGCCATGCCGCAATCCCTTCTCCAGTCTAATCTTGGGATTTGGGGCAGACACACACACATGCACCCAGCATGATTTTTAAGCCCTGCAGATCCGATACTTGAACTGCACAGCCAGTCATGTGGGATCCAGCCCTTTAACCTCCACACTACTCACTGGCCCCAGACCCATCCTACTTTAAGCTCACTCGTAACCTTTCCAGATGTCAGGTTAGACAGACAGTGATGATTAGAGTATCACATTCCAGCACTGCTCTCACAGGGCAGCCTCAAAGGCCATAGGAATACCCTCTGTGGGTCAGTATTTTGATCGGAGCAAACCAGGAGTCCTTCAAACATAGAATTTGGTTTTCTGTGAGAGCATTTCATCAGCATGGGAAAAGTTACATCACTAAAATAGCAGTGTTTATGATTTAGGAATGTTATTTTTATCACTTGTTAAATCCTTGCCACAGGACCAAAGCTCTACAAGGAACCCAGTGCAAAGTCCAATAAGCACATAATACAAAATGCTTTAGCTCATTGCTGTTTGGCTGGAAAAGTAAATGAAGGTCAGAAGAAAAAAATACTGGAGGTATTGTATTACTGCATTGTATTTAATTATTCGAATTTACTTAGCAAATTCCCTATTGTTATATATTTAAATTGTGGCATTTCTTTTTTTAAAAATGTGGTTATTATTAGTAATGCTACAATGAAAATACATTTTCCTGATTCCGTGCAAAGATTAGGTATGTTATAATTTTTTAAAAAAAGGATTTGGTTCCACAGTTCACTATCCCATTTCAAAGTTGATTTAAACTGTCCCAGATCCTACTCCTAGACTGTTTCACTTTCCCCCTCTCCCTTCCCTAGTTCAGAAATGGCAATGGGAGTTGATGGTGTGGAGGAGAGTGGGTGGAAAACCAGAGATGATGGTCTTCTGGGGCCTAAGGTTCAAACAGGTTCAGATCATTTCAGACTGGTTCCAATCAGTTAAAACAGGTTCACACTGGTTCAGAATGGTTCACACCAGTTCAGATTGTCTCACACCAATTAAGACCAGATTTGAATGGTTCAGACTGGCTCAACTAGTTCAGACCAATTCTGACCAATCTTAATCTGGAACTGGTCTTACCAATCCTAACTGATTCTGCCTGGAACCGGTCTGAACCAGATCTGACTGGTTCAAACTGGCCCAAAGTAGTTCAGACTAGATCAAACTTGGTCAAACTGGTTCAGTTCCATTCAAACCAGTTCAGACTGCTTCGCACTGGTTCAGATCAGTTCAAACCAGTTTAGACTGGTTCAAATCAGTTCAAACTTGTCCAGAGCTGCTCAAACTGGTTTAGACCAGCTCAGACCAATTCAGACTGGTTCACACCAATTCAGACCAGTTTATACCATTTGAACTGGTTCAGACTGGTTGAAACCAGCTCATGCTGTTTCAGATCTGGTTCAGTCCAGTTCAAACTGGTTCATTCTACTTCAAACCAGTATAAACTTGTTTGGACCAGTCCATACCAGTTCAAACTGGTTAAGAGAAGTTTAAACCAGTTCAGACTGATTCAAACCAGCTCAGATGGGTTCAAACCAGCTTAAGCTTGTTCAGATTGGTCCACACTGGTTCAAATTGTCTCTGACCAGTTTAAATTGGTCCAGACCAACTCAGATTGGTTCAGACTGGTTCACACCAGTTCAAACTGGTTCGACCACTTCAAGCCAGTTCTGACTGGTTCATAGTCTCAGACTGGTTCTGGCCAGTTCATACCAGCTCATACCAAATCTGACTGGTTTGAACTGGCGCAAACCAGTTCTGAGTGGTTTAAATAGGCTCAAACTGGCTCAAATCAGTTCAGATGGGTTCAAACCAGTTAAGAGTGATTCAGACTGGTTCTGACTGGTTTATTTCTGTTAATACAGTTAAAGGCCAGTTTATACTGGTCCTGACTTTTTTTTAATCTATTTGTACTGGTTCAGACTGGTTCTGACTGGTTTATACTGGTTCTGAATGTTTTATACTGGTTCAGACCTATTGTAGCTGGTTTATACCTGTGTGGGCTCTTTCAACCTAGGCTGGTTCTGACCAGTTTATTCCAGTTCAGACCAGTTCTGACTGATTTATACTGGTTCTGATTAATACAAGTTCAGACTGGTCCTGACTGTTTTTTACCCGTTATGACTGATTTATACTAGCTCAGACTGGAATAACCATATGAGTGGTTTATACTGGTTCAGACAAGTTCTGACTGCTTTATTCTGGTTTATTGCCTTTTCAATCTGGCTCTGATCTGTTTTGATTGGATTATAGTGGTTTGTGCTAGTTCAGACCAATTTTGACTAGTTTATATCGGTTTATATTGATTCTGACAGGTTCTGACCAGTTCAGAATTTTTCACTTCCCCTGATTTTCCTGAATTAGAGTTAATTAAGCATTTACTCAGGTGGAAATGTGGCTTTAAAGGACCTTTGTGGAATTGTGAGATTTTCTGAATGTGGAGGTCATTAGATATTTTCTAGTGGGGAACTAAGAATTCCTGAATGTGTGACAACTTTCTCCTCTCCGCTGAAGAGTTTAGACTATTTGAAGGACGCACCATTAAGTGCCACTAGAGAGGAAGAACATTAAAATCTTGCCCTACTCTGTGCTGGGTGCTTTACATGTGCTTTATCCTCCTGTGCTCTTCAGTGGAGGTATTCTAGGGCTGGGAGGGGGTGCAGTGGTAGCATGAGGCTCTTTGAGGCCAACCCACCCAGGGAGGTTACAGGCGTACGTCTGTGCACCTCCTTATGTCTTACACACACCTGTAAACATCTGGGG